AAGCTCACCGTCATTTCTAAGCAATGGCTAGCCGCTTATATGCAGTAGCCAAGTTTAGGACGCACAATTACTGTATACAAAGTCATAGAAGTTTTTGTTTTCGATATGGCTAAAGGCCCTACGTATTGACGATAGGATTCCTAAACCCTTGGCGGCTATTGCACAGCAGTGTGTGGCAGTTCTCAAGCCTTGGCTAACGATGACTCCAAAGTCATTGTGTGTCTGGAAAACAATGGTCCAATGTTATTCACTGTGTATGCACCTGTACCTTGACGACCAATGTGCATCATAATGCACTTGGAAGTATTCATCGGCAACTGCCAAGTTTGGAACCATTCAGATAATTTCTCCAAGTCATTTTGATGCTTTGAGCCATCGCCTTTACTCTTAATTGCCCTCCATATACTGACATCGTCAGAGTATATCAAGACCGATGGTGATAGGAGACGAGGAAGCTCATTTACGTACAAGAGGAATAACACTAATCCCCGGACTTTACTTTGAGGCAATCCGCTGAGCACAGTTTTCCAGCTAGACAACCAAGAGTTCACGAGTACTCTGTTGTCGCCCAACTGTGAAGTCCTTCATCCACATTAATAAATTGCTTCCAACCCCGCATTTCTTAACTTATATAACAGTTGGTTGAGGGGAACTTTGTCAGAAGCCTTGCTGAAGTCAATGTGGGCTAAATTTACGGGTAAATTTTGGTCTTTAACAGCGCATCAGCCTACACGAACTACTGATAAGTTAGTGAGACATGAATAACTTATTTCAAAGCCAAGTTACTTTTCCGAAAGGATCCGGTTTTTATCGACATAAGAAAACAGCTCCTTCTGAATAATCTTTTCCAAAACTTTAACAAACGCGCTAGTTAGGCTAATGGGCCATTAGTTCGTAGGTTTATGTTTCGTATCTGTTTTGATGACAGGACTTATTATGGCATTCTCCCAGTCTTTTGGTAATCGACTCGGGGTTACGAATACATTAAAACATATGCTTAAGGGGGTCTCAACAAAATTGTCTAGTTTGTTTAGTAACCTAGGGTGCGTTCTATTGGGTTTCGTGTCTCATCAGTACCCAGCAACCTAAATATTTATCAAATTCTCCTCTTGCGGGGAACGGTGTGAACCTCCCTACTGAACCATGGAGAGTTTCTCGGATCCCTTGACGTAGTCTGAGGGGGTGTGGGGTGTAGTAACTTTTTATTACAAATTTCGAAATAATTTCCGAGCTGTTTCAATTGGGGACTCTGGCTCTATTTCCAAATCCACTGACCTCATCAACTGGTACCTGCCCGAAAGAATCTTGTGACAATTCAGTTCTCAGGTTATTCACATGTCCCACTCTCATAGCATATTCCTAAAGAATAGAGCTACTCCCCCTCTTTTGAGCTTCTGGATTCTGTCGGCTCTTACTAACGTGAAACCTCTAAAATCAAGCTCCACACTGTCTATAGGTTGTGTCAACCAAGTGTCTGTGACTGGCATTACACCCGGCTTAGTAGACTCAATCTGTACACCTAGTTCTGATCGCCTATTGAGGAAGCTTCGGGCATTTGTGTAACATACCCGAAGCACATTCAAATGGCAACCATAGTGACTCCCGTACAATTCTCTATCGAAACTTTACAACTCGAAGATTTGCAATTTTTAGGTCATTTTCGCCAGCATCTGACCTAAGTTTTAGTTCTTTTTACACGGTCTGCGAGCGGCAAGTCCTTACGGACAAAAACTTCCGACCCCTTTAGTTTATGTCCATTCTGATGCGTTATCAATATATAGAAGATAAACTGATCTAGACTGGCTAGCGATTGCAAGGGATGCTGAGTACGACGTTCCCTCTCGTAATCTTGTACGGACGCATGACCGAGCGCCTTCAGCTAGGTGAGTCCATTAAAACTAATGTGGTCAGCATCCAATGTCGAAAACTTACAGAGCTATTTATTTTTGTAATTTGTTTACCGCTAAAGTCCTTTTCAAACAGCGCGGCAATGTTAAGTAGTGTGCGCATGCTGTGGAAATAAGTATCATTCCCAGAAGTCATATTACCTTGTGTACTTCTTTCAAACAGGTCTCAAAATTGTCCCAACTGGTAAACGGTCGCGATAACATAATGTCATTGGAGATTAGACTTATATCATGCATCATTGCAATGGTATCACTTTCGTTACTTAAGGGGTGGAAATTTTCAGACGTAGTGTAGCTGAACTCAAACCTTAAGATGTCTCGATCTGACCGCTTCTGCAAGACCTTACTCACTGTCGAGAAGACGCATCAATCATTTTACGACAGTCTGACCTCATCGACGATTTGGGAATGTACGAGAATGTGAGGTCGGCAACGCGTTGGAGAAACAGTCAGACGCCATCGCGTTTAGACTGTGTATTCAAAAACGAAGAATATCTAGTTGACAACCTCTCAATCATGGTTCCCTTGAGAAAAAGCGATCATGCCGTCATAGCCTTCAGTTTTGTCAGCAAAACTAAGCTAAGATGCCCCACCAATAACTTGCGTTGGAATTTTAAACGGTTGAATGTGCCAGCTCCACGCGACTATCTACAACAGGTGGTTTGGGATGTTTTTCGTGCCTTAAGGTAACCCTCGTGCTATTGATAGAAGAAACCAGAGAAGTAGTGAATAGGTCTTTAATTCGATCTTCGCGCAGTCACGGTGGAGCGTGGGATTCTCTGTTCAGACAAACAAAGGCTCTCAACATTCAATATAAGATAATAGGGATTATAACGCTTATAAAAAAATAAGGAAGTGAATGAATACTTGAACAATACTGTTTTGGCATATGCTTGGTTGTTTAGGGTCAGCTCTTAGCCAACCAACCTAAGCTGTTACATGTTCACCCCCAACTCGATGTGGACGGCCATTGGGACTTCTTACTGCAGACGCTCTTACGTGCTACAAACCACTCAGATCCTCAAACGGTTCTCAAAAGCTGCAAACCACCTACAATAATCAAGAACCGTACCCTTCGCCTGCTAAGCCGCAAAAGGCACTGTTGGGCGGAATACGAACGAACTGACAACGACGAGCGTACAGGCAATATAAACATATCAGGAACATATGCACGAAGGCTATAAGAGAAGATAGGCTTCAGTACCAGACAAAGCTTATGGACAAATTTGCCTCTAATCCTAAAAGCTTATTCCGTTATGCAGCCTCTCTTTGTTAAACCAAAACAGGAAGTTCCCGACTGGTAGGTCTTAACGGCCCGACTAACAACGATGGCGACGCCGCTAACCTTCTGGCTGAACATTACTCGCAGACATTTCAACCGACCGACACCAACTTTACTGATGACAGTTTCGTCTGCAATTCCAAAGGACCTTCCAAAGTGAACCTAAGCTCTGACTTGCTGTTCCGGAAACTGCAGCACTTAAGATTAGACACTTCTTCTGGCCCGGACATGGTCCATTCCGCCATACTGAGGGAAGCAGCCTCAATCCTGTCAACGCCGCTTAGCGTGACATTCTCACACTCGCTAAGTCGAGGAAAACTACCGGAAAATTGGAGGCTGGCTCACATCACACCAATTTTCAAAGGAGGTCGACTCAGCGAACCTTCAAGTTACAGACCAGTGGCTCTTCTCTCAATACCCTCAAAAATCATGGAGTCCCTGATATGCAATGGTATAAATGACTATTTACTGTTCTTAAATTTCTTCTCACCCCAACAGCAAGGTTTCAGGAAGAGTTACTCTTGTATTACCAACCTGCTGACTGCGGTGGACAGATGGACAAGCATCCTTGATCACAAGGGGAAGATTGATCTCATCTACCTAGATTTCTCAAAAGCTTTTGATGAGGTGAACCATACATGTCTTATCAATAAGCTCAAACGATTGGGTATCAGACCATCTCTAATCGATTGGCTCACTTCATACCTAAAAAATCGGCATTTTAATGTCAGGGTTAATTTCACTTTATCTCAGGCTATGGAATGTCCTAGTGAGGTCCCCCAGGGCTCAGTACTAGGACCTCTTTTCTTCTTGATTTATATAAATGATCTTCCTCAACAGGTAACGTCAGACTTAGTACTTTTTGCCGACGACGTGAAACTTTGGAGAGAGATACGCAACCAAGACAACATACAGGCACTTCAGGAGGATCTGACTCGACTTCAAAGTTGGGCAGACGATAACGGACTTACCTTTAACACTTCAAAGTGTAAAGTAGTCCATCTGCTATATGTCGCAGACTACAGTTATAACTTAGGTAACTCCTCTCTAGTAGTATCCCAAGTCGAAAAAGATTTAGGAGTCTTGGTGCCCTACGATTTAAAGTCTTAGGCTAACTGTGACAAAAATGCCTTCCGAGCAAACCTTGCACTGGTAACATTGAAGTGCATTTTTGGCCAGTTTGACAGAAAAAATTTCCATATAATCTTCAATAGTTTTATCCGTCCCCATTTAGAGTACGGAAACATAGTATCTCCCCACTCACTCCAAAGGGGTAAGGACACCCTGGAGCGTATCCAACGGCGAGCCACGAAATCAGTTCGAGGACTCAAATTTAAACCTCACGAAGAGCGCCTCCATTCACTTAACCTTTACCCATTAGAGTACAGACGTCTTAGTGGTGACCTTCTGATGGCTTATAGTATCCTTAACACTTCTGGACATCCTCTCAAACACCTACTTGAGCTTAGTTCCAACACTAACCTAAGAGGTAACATCAAAAACTGGAAACACAACACAGCGGAACGCACTGTAGACACAACTTCTACTCCTTAAGAGTTAACAAATGCTGGAATTCGCTGCCGGCCGCGCTAGTCCAAGCGAGTTCCCAGGAGTCCTTTAAGAGGCAATTTGATCTATTCTTAAGGACTAAGGATATTATCGCACTATGATTTATTAATTTCTTTTCCTGTTTTATTGTTAACATACCTAGGTTCCTGCCTGGAGGATTTGGTGATCCCCTGCTACTAGATACGGAAGCCTGTTAAGCGAAAGCTTCTTCTTTTCCGTCCACATCCATTTGAACTATCTGAACAGTACCGCGGACTCCTTAACGTAGCCGGTACGAGCTAATCTAATCTATCTTTGTACCCGGATTTTCACTTGTAGCACTTCTAGTTTACTTTAGCAGTAATTCTAGTTTGTGTATTTCCCACATATTAAGTACATTTTTCTACCGAATTCATCTATAGTATTCATTATGTGTTCTGGTTCTATAGACGTTGGATCCAACGTCTTTTTTTCATTGAAGTTGAGTTTATACATCTTCGTAAAGTTGGGAAAACTGATTAATCCAGAATGAGAGGAACAACGAACTCCGATGAACCTTACACTTAAATGAAAAGATCACTAAGTATGGTAACCCAGGTTTATCACTTGAATCGAATGGAGCGTTAGTGTCTAAGGTTGAACGTGATTTTTTATCTTAAAACTAAAAGACGCACTTTTTTTACATTCGAAGACATCTGTCTTTGAAATCAATGTTCTCTCGTTTTGAAATTATATCATGAATAATTCGGGTGTCATGCTTAGCGTATCAGTCGGATAATAACGAATCTTTCGAAAGGGTCTCAAGAGCCTCATGGAATCTTATATATCAACTGGCGATTATCACCAGCGTATCGAGTTCAGATCTCCATATCCGTGATATAACATTAATTTACAGTTTAAGGTTCAATAGTATGGCTCAACCCTATACATTTTTATTTCTACTTTGATATTTTACCACTATTCATAATATACTTCTTAGTCCTATCTTTTAGCTTTCTAGATTCTTCTGGTCATCTTGAGGTGGTGTTGTATTTTACAATGCTATATATTTGTTGTGAATTGAAATCATACAATTGTATGGGAGATTATTCTAATACTGAATGGAATCTGAGCAAAATAGTTGGACTGGGCAATTAGTACACAACGCTTAAGCGGTACGCTGCCGAGAGATGTAAGAGAAAGAAGTCTTTTATGGAAAGTGGATTAGTGAAGACGTCAGAAGGGCTCAGTTATATTCCCAGTAATAAGTCATGTGCCAATGCAATGAATAAAGCATGCAGAATCCTATAAACTGGGTAGTTGTTACACATAATGAAGAAGGAAACGAAAGTTTATAAACAGAATACCACTGAATAAATTAGTGTGACGAAAATCTGTTGAAAGTTGACCTTACAAGTTCTCCGTAAATCCATATTGATTCTCCTTCCCACAATTTATATTTAGGGTTGCACACCAAACATTCTTGTTTAATGGCTACTTGCTCTTGGGTTTATTTGTTATACCGTCTACTTTGACTGTAATAGTAATAGCTTTTAAATATTTCGGTACAGCCGAGGTTGGGAAGAGTCCGCCCTCTCTCGAAATGCTTTCACATGGCCACGCGTATATAGCTACTGCCAGGAAAGTCTTACTCACTGCCTTCTCGAGGCAAGGGTGTTGTTCAGAAAATTGAGAGGACGAAAAGCAAATATCCGGCGCTTTGACCGGGTTGGTGGATATGGAGGATCCATCTAGGGGAGTTGGAAAAACCTGTTTCCAAACCAATGGTTCATATGGGCTCCATGATCCTGAGGGAACAAAAGGCGTATGAGCCCATTGTTAGTCACCGGCTACCATGTGACTGAATCTTCTAACGCCGCTCCACTTCCTTGTGGATCAGACCTTCAGGTCAAAGGCTCTGGGAGTGGCCCCTTAGAAAATCACTTGCGCTGGTTTGGGCACCCTGGCAGTATTCCAGCCCTCACACTGATTGAATGATTTGTGTGGCGCACATGTATTTGATGCCAATGCTGACGTTTAAATAAATAATAAATAAAAGGATGAGTCTGTGGGTTTCTTAATTCTACGTTGGAATGTAAATCACAGATTTCCATTCTTTATGTGAGTAATGCAAATATTATGCGAATTTGAGCTGTCGTTGTTTGACTGCACCTTGACAACTGTTGAGAGACAGCTGAATGACGGACTGGTAGTACGACCGTTAATATCGGCTGTAGTGTATCTCCACAGTATTGAGGTGGTATCCGTCAATATTCTCATAAATTCCATCATCGGTTCCTTGAATGTTTTGGTTTTCTGAATAGTCTAATCGTCTTGTAAGTATGAAATCTACCTTTATAGCCCGTCATACGGCATTTAATGCTTTGATGGTTATGTATAGGTACGATTTGGCGAAGTGCCATGCACTGAGACTTGGGTGTAGATTATGGAGTTTTTGTCTTCCTTCTGGGTGACATGTTGCTAGGGTTTATTGTGAAAAATACCGAACACTTGAGACTAGAAATAAATCTACTAAACGGAACAGCAAGGATCCGAAAAGCTAGGGACACTCGTTGCCTCTTCGTCGTCTCTGCCTACTCTCCCACTGACTGCAGCTCAGATGAAGTAAAAGATGAATTTTACAGAAAGCTTTCCAACCTCCTCCAGAAAGTTAGACGCTCTGATGTAATAATAATGTCTGGTGACTCTAATGCTCAAGTAAGTAAAGTAAACGAGAGGAAAGACACCTGTGTGGATCTTATGGAGTCGTGGCCCATATAATGGCGACCGTCTGTTGCAGCTATGCTCAAATAACCGCCTCTTTCTTGTGAATACTAACTTTAAACATAAGGAAAGACATCTTTTAACATGGCGACCCCCTAATTCGTCCCAACGTTGGACACAAATAGTTCACATCGCTATCAGCCACCGATGGAGGGGCTCGATAGAAGACTGTCGCTCATTCTGGAGCACATGCTTAGATTCAGATCATACTCTAGTGCGAGCGCGTATTTGTCTGCGTCTTACTGGATGTAGGAAAGACGCTGCAAGGAAACCTCTTGGGGTCCTGTTTAACGAACTAAGAGTATCTTTCAGGAACAACTAGGAAAACAGGCAGCCATGTAGGTGTTGCCCACCCGAGGCAGCATGGAATGATGTCCGAAAAGCTGTGTAAACAGCAGTGATATCTGCTAGTAAGGTAAACCAGAAGGTTAGGGAGCAACACTGGATCTCAGCAGCATCTACCGCACTGATAGATGCTCGGAAACTCATTCCATCTGGATCTGAACATAACGAAGAGCGGAGTCAGCTTAAGCGCAAGCTGACAAGAAGCCTACGCAATGATCGCGAACAGTGTTGGGTAGCGAAAGCAAGAGAGATGGAAAAGGCAGCGGCAATAGGTAATAGCAGACAATTGTTCAGACTTGTTAAGGAAACCGGTATTAGGAACCCGACTGTTAGCGAAACAATCTCAGAGAAAGATGGACATATTATACATTCTCAATCCAGGAGATTGGATCGATGGGCAGAACACTTTAGGGATCAGTTCAACTGGCCTTCAGCCACACTTCGGTTTCCCACGATCTCCAGTCAACCTGAATGACAAGTTAATCTAAGTCCTCCGACTCTTTATGAAGTTGAAAAAGCTATCGGAAATCTGAAACGAGGGAGAGCAGCAGACCCTGACAGGTTCACTCCTGAGATTTTTAAAGATGGTGGTCCAGTATTAGCAATGAGATTGACTGAGGTCTTAGGTAGAATTTGGGAACTGGACGTAATCTCACCTGACTGCTCTCAATCACTGATTGTGCCAGTCTATAAGAAAGGACAAAAGTCCTCCTGTGACAACCATAGAGGAATCAGTTCAACTAATATAGTGTCAAAAATATTAGCTTCAATAATACTTCGACACCTAATTAAAGCTCGTGAAGAGCAGACTAGAGAAAACCAGGCTGGTTTTCGACCTGGACGTGGTTGTATAGACCAGATATTCACACTACGTCAGATTCTAGAACACAGACACGTTCAGGCACCCCACAATCGTAGTACTTCTCGACCTTAAGGCAGCATTCGACTCTGTTGATCGTGAGGTTCTATGGCAATGTTTGTTACTGAAAGGAGTACCAAAGAAGTACATTAACCTTGTAAAGGCTCTCTACTCGAACGCAACTGGTCGAGTGAGAGCTTATGGCGAACTGTCATCAGAATTGATTACCTCGAGTGATGTTCGTCAGGGCTGTCCACTCACTCCATCCTTGTTTAACTTTGCCATTGACGTACTTTTAGAGATAACACTTTCCTCATTTAAATTTCCAGGGGTTGAACTTCTACCAGGAGATTCACTTGTTGACTTAGAATATGCCGATGACAGTTCTATTTGGTGAAAACGCTGACAAAATGCAGTCTTCTGACCACTCTAGGCAACAATGCAGGCATGTTTGGGATGCGATTCTCCCCCTCGAAATGCAAAATGTTGCTTCAGGATTGGGTTGCATCGTCACCCGGACTAATGATAGGGAGTGAAGTAGTTGAGTGTGTCGACCGCCTCACTTATCTTGGAAGTCTCATCAGCCCTTGTGGTCTGGTGTGTGACGAAATCTCAGCATGAATGCAGAAGGCTGGATTAGCTTTTGCCAACTTGCATCATTTTTCGGCGTAGGCGAGATATCCGTCTATCAACCAAAGGACGTGTTTACTGCGCAGCAGTTCGTACCGTTCTACTTTATGGCAGTGAAACATGGCCGGTAAGAGTAGAGGATATTCGTAGGTTACTAGTATTCGATCATAGGTGTCTTCGAAACATTGCTCGTATATCGTGGGACCATCGAGTAAGTAATGTAGTTGTTAGGAAACGGGTACTAGGTACGGATGGCAAATCAGTTGATGAAGCAATGAAACTTCATCAGTTGAGATGACTTGGACACGTGTTACGTATGCCTAACCACCGACTGCCCCGACGTGCGATGTTTTCTGGTATAGGAATAGGTTGGAAGAAAGCTAGGAGTGGCCAAACCAAAATGTGACACAAATCCATGAAGTCACTGACAAGTGAACTGAGCCATGTTGGTAGGTGTAAACTACCTAGTTGGGTACCGCGAGACGATAGAAACCGATGGTTAGAGACCTTGGATGACATGGCTCAAAGTCGTCTGCAATGGTGCAGGTGCGTCTACTCTTTGTGTTCTCCCAAATTCTAATCTTCTGAATTCTCCTTGTCTCTTTTTTTCTCTTCCCAAGTTTATTTCACTAGATTGTACTCCTTGATTAACATCTTCAAGCCCTAATGTTTCCGATTACTGCTTATACTCTTACTACCTCTACCACTACGGGATTTGAATCGACAACTGCATCTCTGTGCTAATGTGGTATGGCAACTCGAACTGATGTACGTTCGTACGAAGTTCTACGTTGTTACTGACTGACTGATTATGAAGTATATAAAATTTGAGATCACTTTGTCCCTCAAACTGGTCCGAATCGGTCACATGTCTAATGTTCGTTCGCTGTTGATCTTTAGTAACAACATCATTGGAAGTTAACCCAGGGTCTTGGTCGATGTAATAAGGCAGAGCATATCTAGGGGTCGAATATGTTGTATTAACTCCCAAAGGGATATTAGAGAGAATCTAGGTCAATTTAGACTTCTGACCCAGCAGTCGTCTGAATATATCGTCAGTACTTTCCACAACCATCGCCCATCGCTACTGCTGTTCCACACTTACGTCATTTATGTTTGTTTAGCTTTTGATCCAAATTATTGAATCCTTCCATATTTTCGATGTACTGTATGTTAGTTTGTCTTACCAAACATCATTTACATGTATGAACACTATCTGATTTCAGGAAAGATCAGCAGTAAGTGACACGAAAAAGTTGATGTAGTTACAAATTTCTATATTTCGAAGGTATTAACTTTAGATAGTGTATGATAGATAGTGCAATACAATCGAAAATTACATCTTAATTGTCAAATAATTTACACCGATCTATAAATAATGCTTTATAATGGTCTTCTGAATATCCCTTGAAACACTTGAGGAAGCTCGTATGTTCAATTTACTGGTAGGTTTACCAGCTCACACTGGTCTTGAACAGCTTAGTTAAGAAGGTTGAAAAAGTTATCTTACTTCGACGGCAGTTCCCATATATTTCAGTTTTTAGGGAAAGCTGTTATTGATTTGAATACTAACTGGTAATGTCGTTTTTGGTGTCAAGCTTCTGTAATTACGTACCTGAATTCCAGTCACAGTTTGTCTGTTAGATATCGCCTTTGTTATCGCTAGCCTATCCATTTTGAACATTGGAACTGTGATCCATTGATCTCAACACTCGAATGTCAATCAGTAGGTCATAGACGCAAAGTCTAGTTCACCTACTTGTAACAGTAATAAAACTTGCACATGATATTATTAACATTGAACTTGTTCTTTTACCTGCAGGGCGACAAAGGGTGAATGCGTTGGAGAAAGGATATCAAACTCTTAATAAACTGAACTTTCGATGCGCCCATAAAACTGTATTTTGTAAAGACCTTTACCTTCCGACCACGTTATTCAATTATAAGAATATAATTCGTTGCGCCGGTACTCTGTTCCCTTTCCTCGTATATTCATTAGTTACTGATTGTGCGATGTTTCCTATCCTTCCTACACTCTAGTGAACGGCGCTAGCATGTGCTGCATACTGAGGTTTAGACTACTCATTAATAGACTTGGCTCCACGAAAGAGGTTTAATTCATAGTTCATTATATAAAGCTGTGCGTGAATGCTGAGGTATTCCATTAAAGCTGTTATTATTCATTATCAATTGTAAATCAAATAGATTATGGTAATATAGCATAGTTTACATTTGTTTCACAAGTGAATGAGTCTTTGTTTTTACACTATTACTATTTCCCAGGAGGACGTTTTTAACTATTCCTAATTTTCTGTAATGGGGAAACCTAGTGGTCCTGCTCCACAAGTTAATGGGATTTCTCCAAACCAAGGAACCCCTGGGACAAAACTGACTATTAGAGGAGAAAATTTAGGGAACACTGCAAGTGATCTTCTACATGTATTCATTGGTGGGATAGATGTTGGAAGAAGTGCTCAATGGTTCTCACCCAAGAAACTTACTGCCATTACACCACTGGGAGAAGGTGAACTTGAAATCGTTGTGGTTACCGATAGTGGGGGCTTTGGAACTGCCGCAGTGATTTATCGCCAAAATATCCTCCGCGTAGTCAGTAAGTTGGTTTAGTTACTTACGATCGTGCTTTACTGTTTACAATAGTTTTAGAGGCTGTAATATTAATTCAGCTTGCGCTATAGCCCTTTTCGACATTAAACATTGTCACCTAAGCCCAAATCTCAATTTTTCCCATTTATTGTATTGTTTTGGTTTCTTTATTCCGTAATATTAGAAGTAAGACTTGAGTTCTCAACAATAATATAGTGCCTCTACACTCGGCTGAATAGTTAGACCCCTCGATTTTCAACCAGTGTTGAAACTTTCAACTCTATTTATTTTGTTGTGAACAATCAGGTGTTATTACTATTATTCTCATAGAGCGTTTGGCTTATAACTGGGTGCATAAACCTGTGCTTGTATAAGAATATTAAATCAGCATAAATTTCATGAATGGCTTGAGAAATGAGAAAAGAAAAGCAGAAATAAAATTAAAATTATTTAGTGCTTACGAATACGAGGTTTGAGATAAGTCATCATTAATTCCATATTATCACATGCAATTCACAAAATTAGTCATTTGGGATTATTTGTGTCAATATGCCCTGTGTTATGTGAAATCGTGACATTGATCTGTTATGTTATTGTGCCTGGTTTGGAGTATCTTTGATGAAATAATTTGAAGACTGAAATACCGCATATAGTATCGGAACTTTAATCAATGGTATATTTGAGTTAACTATTTAGATTAAGTAAATTGAAAAATGTTACGTATTAATTGTAGTGGTTGTTGTCTACGCAAACCTATAGATAGTAGATACGTATCGTATTCTTTAAGGATTTATTTAATATCGCACTAGACTGGTGAGTGATCGTAGCTTAAATGAGTTTACCAATAATATATACATTTATATCGTTGGAGTTTTTTGTGTAAGTTAAACGCCATAGACATCGTTAGTTTATCTTACACTTATTAAAGTACATTTTCGAAAGATAAAGAGCTTTTTTCATCTCTTTCAAAGCTGTAACTCTTCTCTTCATCAATTTTCGTATTTACTGTGTTTATGATTCTCCATAGTGTCTATTCTTGGTCATAGATATTTTTCGTCAGATACTATTTTCACTATTCTTATGAGCTGATTTTGTTAATTGATCTAATCACTTTTTGAAACTCGTGTTATCTTATTTTCTTTTCTAAAATTCTACAACCTTTACTGTTAAGGTCCACAAACTGTTGTAACTTATTGGCCAGAAGATGATAGACGTGTTGCTCCTACTAGCGGTAGTACTTCTGCAGGATCATCTGGATCTACTGTAGCTGTTGGATGTGTTCCTGGAGCAGAGCTCGATCATTCCACTGGTCTTCCAATGTCAGAGTTGAGTCGAATTAGTATGCCACTGTCAGACTCTGCCTTGAGAGAAATATACCCACGTAAGAAATTTCTTAGTAACATACGCATAATTAGTTCCTTAATTTCTTTAATAGGATTCAGTCATAATCAAATTAAAGCCTGGGAGAAATATGCGTTGGCCCAAGTTGTCATACCACATAAGCACGACAAGGTGAAATTAACAAGATAAGTTGTGAATGAATCGATGACAACGAGAAAGAATAAGAATTGATAGTATGGTGTGGAAAGACAAAAAGAAAAGTTGTTTATAAACCAGTACTGGTGCTAAAAATTTAGAGGATGATAAATACTGTAACTGTTGTACTGTGGTTTATTCGAAGTCATACCATCCAAGTTCTTCAACCACTGGTTGCAGTTGTAAAATAACATTTCCTGGGCAGTAATAAATAACTAAGCAGGGTTTTTTTCTGTTTAAGCAATGATCATATGCTGCGTACTTAGACTGAAAAGATATATGCCTAAATGTAAATTAGAGTGATTTGTGGTTCAGTATCATAATTACGGTTGAAAGAATGATTTCAGATAGAATAAACAGAATATGTTGAAGAGAGTACGTATGATAAATTTCGTAACCACCATCTGATGGTCAATTAGTATACTTTTTATAACTACGGCGCACCTGTTTATACATTACTGTAACAAGATAAAAAGATATATCGAACGAGATTTGTTATACTAAGTTATTTGTTTGATGTCAGTACACTTCCACCATCAGATCCATTGTCTTCAATTTATATTCTGTTATTGCATTTTGGCAGGTGATTGACAGTTCAAAGCTTTATCTTCGTTAGTTTATATAATCACATGTTTAGCCTTATAGTATAAATGGGAATCTGCTTACCATTTTATTCATGAATTGTACCAGATTCACAAACTTGAATTTGACTGATTAATTTGAATTCATTTTATACTTTCCGGTCCTAAAAGTCAGTTCAAATAATTTGTGTTGTACATTTACGAAATCCTGCGACTCCTGATGTGTTTTAAAATGAAATGAATAAAATAGTTGTTTAAGAAACAGCGCATTTTATGTACTCATCATTCTAGTAACTCACAGTTGATGAACACTACTAGTGTCCCAAATCATGTCTAGAGTAATGCTTTTTAATGATTATCATGTGTTTTAGTTGTATATCTTAAGTGTAATGAAAATGCCACTAGAGTGATTTTTATGATGTCAGACATAAAGCTTTTTAATTCAGGAAAAATCATTGCCGTCAGTCTGTAATGTTACCTGGGTTTATGTACGTGCAGCCTACGCAACACAATCCTACCATAAATATACGTATCTTTGTGTTTAACTTTCTAATGGATTTAAGATTTAATAATACCTAGTGGTGTAACTCATTTGTGAAGTGAGGATTCATGTACCAAACATTGAATTGTATTATTGATTTGAGAACTATTGCTTACTACCCAGCTGAAAAAAATAAAGGTAGGTGAAATGGAGTTTGAACCTGCGATCAAGTGGTTGAATGTAGGATATGTCATTCTTTTTCGATCATTACTGACCGACTGAATTAAAGTGCTAACATGCTCTCAGTGTATTCTGCTTATTGCTATGTTTGAAGATATTACGAGTTCACCTAAATCTGCGAAAGGAACGACTCAGCGACACAATGACCAAATAAGCTAACTATTCCGATGCGTCCCAGCCCCACCAACTAGAGAGAGAAGTCTAGGTTCAGAGGAAGAAAATGTACTCCACAAGCAGACAGAAGCACGAACAACAGCGAGCACAACTTAAGCGTATATATACAGCATAAAAAATGTCCTTGGGAAATGTTACAAAATAGCATATTAAAAGATACAACAAACCAATGGCATTTAAGATCCTCTTAAGTGGGAAATACGTTGTGAAGGTGAAAATGGGCGCTTTTGGCACGAAAACAAGAAATCCAAATTCAAAAAATAAAATTAAAAAGTGAGACATTTATCAAGTGAATTCTGGGGATCTAGCATCCCCAATACTTTCATATATACTCCTTGATGAAGTCAATAGTGAATTAGTGACTAAACGAAGATTTTAGTGTTTTATAGGTTTTTCTCATTTCATTAGCTGATATTTTTTAAATTTGAAACTTGCAGTTGCTTTCATTTACTTTGTTCTACTAATTTAACATTTTTATTATGGTTGTTTCAAATTATTAACTTTTTTCTTGTAGAAGTCATTTTCTGAAAACAAATTCAACATTTTATTTTTACATTTACACATTATAGGGTCAGGTTCAGTACATTTGGCCGATAAAGATTTTAATCCAGTTATGTTTCTACTGAAATTCTATAAAAATTCTAAGTAAGCTTACAAAAATAAAAAAGATTTGTAAAACTTATTAGTTCATACTCAGTTGTTTAACGAATCACCAAAATAGACCAAGTATTAGATAATCTATTGCCAGTTATACAATTTTCGACTTCTAATTCTGTAGCCTAAAATGTAATGTTCTTATATTTCACGAAGCATATTAAATGCTAATATTTTGATTACTTCCAACAACACTAGCGAAATTATATCCAGTTAAGAGATTTCGTTTAGTACAAAACTCACATGTTGTTACCCTCTTCCTGCATATTTAGTTAAAAGTCTTATTAGTTAATGACTTATTTATTTATTTATTTTAACACATAAATACTGGTACAAGGGGGCACCAAACACATATGCGCCATACAAATCTCATTTGGTTTGTATGAGGGCTGTGATACTGCCCGGGTGCCCAAACCGAAGCAGGTGATTTTCTTAGAGGGCCACACCCGGAGCTTTCGACTTACAGGTCTGATCCACAAGGCAGTGGAGCATCGTAAGGAGATGCAGTCCCATGGTAGCCGGTGACCAACGATCGGTTCATACACCATTTGTTCCTTCAGGATATTGGAGCCCATATGCACCATTGGTTTGGAATCAGAGTTTTCCAACTCATCTAGGTGGACTCTCCGTGTCCACCGGCCCGGTTAAAACGCCGTACATTTGCTTTTTGTCCTCTCAATTCCGTAAACAACACCCCCGCCACGAGAAGACAGTGAATAGGACTTGCCTGGCAGTAGCTATATACGCGTGGCCATATGAGAGCATTTCAGGAGGGAGAGCGGACTCTCCCCACTCTCGGCCGTACCAGGGCATTTGAGGAAAAATGATTTGCATCAAAAGAGACTGTTGACAATTATACTAAAAGGATTCTGGTTGATTAAAATTAGCGTCTGTTTTGGCATGAGTAAATGGATTCATAAATCGTACTCACTATTTAACTAGATGCTCATATCAAGTAAATCTTAGCTGATGATAATCCGTAGGGTTGTAGTTATTTCGCCTTTTGTCTTCAGTTTAATAGAGGTATTTAAAACTCTGCTGAGTCCCATACTAACACGAGACGTCTGTCCAGTGCTTTCGGGTTTCCAATTGTGGTTTTAACTTAAATCGATTCGTGACTTCAATAATACTCAACAACCTCTTCAGCTTTTTACTGGCAAATGTCACGTGCTTCCTAGTGACTAGCTTTAACAGGGAATTTCTGGAGTTTTGGTGAGAAGTCGTGACCAGTGGAGCCAAACCGTGTCGGGTGGGAGTTAGATATCCACTGAAGAAAATGGAAAATGTTTGCGCAATGTCGTAGATTGGTTGAAGTTAGGAGTAAACGCCTTTGAATGCTGATTCAGTGGTCTGGAGGTTAGGCATTTTCGCACGAGATCCGAGGTCCTGGGTTCAAGTCCTGCATGCGGGGTCGTAGGTGCGCACTGCTGAAGAGTCCCGTACTAGGGTGAAACGGCTGTCCGATGCTTCCAGGTTTCAAATGGCAGTCGAACTTAGATTGGTTCATGATTTCAATGAAAAATTTGAAAGATTTGTAAATACCGTACACTAAAATTCGGTTTTTGCTGCTTGTTTATACCTTTTATGATCATTGTACACTTATAAGACTATTTGTTACAAGTTTCAATAATTTAGTCCACACATTTTATGAAATTATATGATTAGAAACATTGATTACCCTATGTGTTTCGTAAGAGTAACCTTTCTAGTGTAATAATGAAAGCATTGTTACCGGAGTTTGTGAAATTTATCAACATAAAATAGTACCATCAATATCTCCACTGATTTCTATTTCATATCATTTGTATTTATCAAATGCTTAATAGCAATAATACCTATGCTATCTGTGTTTCAAGGTGTTGTGAATGAGAAATTTCATAGAAATAAAGTACCCGAGATGATATAGTTAGAGATATGTTTTACGTGTAATGTTTTTATGGAAGTGGTGAATTTGTAACTAGCACTGGGATCCCATTCGGGACTCATCAGCTGGATTCCTTGTAGAAGTAGCTTAATCAAGCTGTAATTCATACAGTATGCACACCTACCAACAAAGAATGATCAAAATTCAGACAAGATTGTGAACAAGATAATTCAAATCCGTTCTAACAATGATGTGAAAGTCTGCAGTGATTTTGCTTGTGATTATTTCTAGTTCAAGATAAAAATTTTGTGAGGGAATTTTCATTTTGATAATTTCTTTCAAAGGTGAATAATTGACTCAACAGGAATATATATTTTATGAATTTATTATCTTCTTTCAAGTGGTTCTGAAATGTAAACAATTTTCTTCATTTTAGTTTTAATGATTTATTGGTTACGGTGAAAAATTTTCGCCAAAGTATGGGCCAGGAAGGTCCAGGCGAGCCTGTCAATGTTATTAGAACAAATCTAGTTTTAATTTTTCGGTGTCTGGATGGAATGGATGGTAAGCTGAAAACATCTATGTATTATTAGTGAATATAACTATGGTATGAAAGTCTGTGTATTTTCGTAAAGAAGGTCAGTTGTACCCTGATATTTCATATTATTCTTTGTCTATACGAAATCGGCATGACAGGTTGTCAGTTTCATGAATCTCATCGGTTGCGGACACTTAGTTTTTTCTTATGTGCAGATTTTTGTAGTGTGAACATCTTTGGTTAGTTTGTATGTATGAGCTCTCAGTAACACCATTGTTAATTATCAAAACACTAAATTTGTGATAAAATGTGTTTTTTTAAAAATATTTTGTGGAATATATATTTATCATTTTATGTTCATTTTATACTTGTTATACAGGTTTACGTCGTAGATTGGACAACGAGAAAAAATCAATTGAAACAAATGACAGCAATGATTTACGTTTGGAATCAATTCTTTACGGTAGAGATTATTCATTTTTCTTAAAACTATTTTATTACTGTATGTATTACGATAATAAAAATTATATTAGAATAGTATTTAAAAGTAATGTTGTTATATGTTAAAGTTAATTTATAAGAAATCTCTCAGTGTTTACACATGATAACAACTCAATTAAGCATCCATGTATTTTATGATAACTGTACATTTGAAGTACTTTCTTTTTCGTTATTTGTAAGGATTCATTTTCATTAACGATTATTATTTGCTAGAATATTCATATAATGAATAGCTTAGAATAGGTTGCTGTAATATTATACATTGTTGTTAAAGCCTAAACATGATATGAGTAGATATAATGATTTAATTATGTTATCTTCTACTTACATCTCTCGTTGCTTTTTACATGGTGCAATGATTTTTATCAAACTTTAATCTGCTTACAACCTAAAATATTTGAAAATCAGAGTTATTACAGTTATTGACATACTTATACATAAAATTTATTTATTTATTTGAACACATAAATATTGGTACAAGTGGGGCACTAAATATATATGCGCCACACAAAACAATGAGAATGTGAAGAGAAAAAAGAAGGTAAGGAGCGCGTAAGAAAAAAAATCAATAACGACTACAGATTAGTGTAAGGTAGTGTAATAATAATAATAATAATGATAATAATAATAATGGGGGAAACAGAAACGTACAATCAGAAGAGATCTTTCAGTTAAGGAAGACACAACCACTTTTTATGAAGAAAGTAAAAGAAGGTTACAGCAGGATCGCCACTGGCTTCTATTCTGAGCCATCTCTGATAACGTCTCTAGCCACTGACCCCAACCAGGGAGTCGTGAAGGACCGACAGAAGCCAGTCCTGTTCAGCTTTCTTTCATGCCACGACACCATGTCATGCACTGACCACCTCTCCGCTTTTTCCAACCAGTTCCAGAGTCGACAAATAATGCACGACGTGGAATTTTCTGGGACGACATTCGTAGAACATGTCCAAGCCACCGAAGTCGGTGTTTCAAGATGGTGACACCAATTGGATTATTGTCTCTGTGTCCGAACACACGATGGCGAACCTCTGCATTACTAACATGGTGTTGCCACTGGATGTCAGCAATCCTTCTGAGATAACGATGATCAAACACAGAGAGTCGTCTAACATCCTCAACTCGGAGAGACCAGGTTTCACAAGCATAGAGCAAAACTGCTCTCACCGACGCGTTGTAGATCTGACCTTTTACAAACAGACTAACATCACGAAGGTGCCCCCAAATACCCTGGTATGGCCGAGAGTGGGGTGAGTTCGCCCTCCCTCTCGAAATGCTCTCACACAGCCACGCGTATACAGCCTCTGCCAGGGAAGTTCTACTCACTGGTTTCTCGTGGTGGGGGTGTTGTTTAGGAAAATGAGAGGGCGAAAGGCGACTGTCCAGCGCTTTAACCGGATTCCAAACCAGTAGTGCATATGGGATCCAGTATCCTGAGGGAACAAATGGTGTATGAACCAATTGTTGGTTACCGACTACCATGGGACTGCTCCTTACGTTGCTCTACTGCCTTGTGGATCAGACCTTTAGGTTGAAGGCTCGGGGTGTGGCCCCCTAAGAAATTCACCTGCTTCGGTTTGGGCACCTGGGCAGTATCACAGCCCACACACAAACAGAATGAAATGATGATACTTACGGAAAATACTATTCTATACATAAGAGGTTGATTAAGGATGAATATATGTGTCATGATGTAGCGAAGATTCCGATAGAGTTAATGAGGTCATAAACTATTGTTTCGAATAAATAAAGTTTGGGAGGGAAGTTTCCAGAACATTGAAATAGTGATTAGAACTCATGGAATTAAAAAAATACATTAGATGGTTATGTAATGAAGCAACTGAAAATAGAATAATGGTAATAAAGAAAGATATGAATTAAAATCAGTTAGTTATGAATGATGTAATTTTAAAATTCAGAGAGTTGGAATAGTGAATGACGTAATAAATAAATAAAGGGGGGGGGGTAATGTTGCCAGGGCAAATAAGGATTTATTACTATTTCTTTTTGTATACATGGATCTGGTTTTAGACGTTTGATTGCTATCGCTTCGGCAAATTTCAAAAGGTTTGAGTTTGGTTGTTAATCACCTTGAAGGACTTCAGTGTATCGACTTCGTGTCCTGTGTCAAGATGTCTTGCGATGGCACTGCTGAATGCCTTTAGTCCGTTTGATCTTAAACTCTTCGGAATATGTTCTTTGAATCGAACGTAGGCTCTCCTTTCTGTTCTGATTTTCAAATATTTTAGGTTGTAAGCAGCTGATGAGAACCTGACGAAATAAAATGAATTCATATTATTCTGCACCAATCTTTGTTCTTTCTCTCTTTGAAATAATAAAGGGAACTATGTATGTGAAACAACCTTTAATCTTTTTATAAATCTTGATTTGCCTGTGATAGATGTCGACATTTAGAATAAAATGTTTTTTGTCAGCTTGATAGTTTAAGGTTACTCTCCTCTCCCCTCAGTTAGCTATTAGATTAGATAAAGTTACACATGCTTAGATACATCATATCGGCGTTGAACAGTGAGTAAAGCAATTGTACAGTGTCCAAATCACTGATCTAATTTATAAAATGCATTTGTTAGTCGTTGCAGGTGGGTTTTAACAACTCGTTCAGTTAAGCGATTCGTTGGTTATTTGGTTGAAGATTTAATTCTCACTTTATTGAGATCATGAAATGATCTAAGTTAGACCGCTATCGAAAACCTGGAAGCACTGGATAGCCGTTTGATCCTAGTATGGGATGGTCATGAGTGTCGTGGGTTGGTTGAAGTTAGACGTTAACACCGTTTAATCTCGACTCAGTGGTCTAGAGGTTAAGCGTCCTCACACGAGACCAAAGGTCTTCAGTTGGATACCAGCGTGGGGTAGCGTGGATCCACACTAATAAGGACTACCGTTTTAGGACGAGTCGACCGTCCAGCGCTTCCAAGTTCTCAATGGTGGTCTAAGTCAGATCGATTCATGATTTCAATCAAATTCAATAACCTCCACAACCACTTACTGGCAAACTTTATTTTAGTCTAAACTAGGAAGATATTAATATTATCTCACATATTACTGGAATGCAGAATGGAAATCTTAGTATATTGTGGTTTTTGTTTTGTTACGCTAAAAATTTTTGGCTTTACTTTTGATAATAAAACGACTAAATTGAATGAAAACAATTATTCGACAGATTTTAACTATAACTTTTATATCCTTCAATTACTTCAGATACCCGTACACTTGGTCATCGTTTATTTGAAGATATTTTAAAACGTAGAGATAGGGGTGATTCAATTAAAAATGCTATATCTGTTTTGCAACGTTATCAGTTCCTGTTCAATCTACCGCATGCTATTCGAACAAATATATCGAAAGTAAGATATTACATACATTATTTTCTCAAATAAATGATGGTTATCTTCGTAGAAATTCTGTTCTTAGTACTGTATTATAATTGGTTAGAAAGACGTTGATTCACAATTGCTTTTGATCCACACTTAGTATGACGATACTTGGTGATGAAACTAACGTAGGGTAAGGTAGTTTTTGAACTTGGAGTCTAGTGATTGAAAGTTAAGCGCTTTGTTCACTAATAATTGATTGCTCTTTATTCGAAGGAGTGTTTTGGCCTAAGTATTAAAAAAGTAGTTTATGTAGAATAACATCCAAAGGAAAAAAGTCTATCATAGTAGTATCATTATTAAACATTTGGTCATCTATTTTCACTAGAATCCTCATTGAACAGTATCCACAAAGCCAAATGTACTGACTCTTTTTAAAACAGTTACATAAGAAATTTTTGGATGGAAAGGGCTTTGGCAGTTAATCAGCTCAATTTCCACAATGTTAAATTTTTTAAACTTTACAGTAATTTCCTTAAAGCTTCTTGATGGAAAATTTTTAATTTCATTGAAATCTTGAACCGACCAATATTTAACCACATTAACACCGCTGGATGACGACTCAGTCGTCTAGATTTTAAGCATTCGCGTGTGACATTAAAGGTCTTGGGTTCGAATCCCGCTCACGGGATCGTGAGTACGCACTGTTGAGTTTTATACTACGACGAATCGGCTGTCCAGTGCTTCCAGGTTTCAAATGGTGGTCTAACATTAGTCGATTCATGATTTCAATGAAATTCAACAATCTCCACAACCCCAAGCTGAAAATTTTATTTGATTATCGTATTATCTCTTTCCTTTTTTCCCTCCATTCCATGTCGCTTGTGTTATTGCAGGGTGATTACAATTTGGTATTAAATGATTACTTACGTGCAAAATCATTATTCTCCAGTTCAGATACTGAAGTTCTACGTCGTAGTAAGTTTGAATCTATGGTCGAATTTCTTTCCTAAAAATAATACCATTTAATTCAGTGTAATATTTATATAAATACAGGAAATGATTACAATGTGAAATTTTCTGCAGTGGGTTTGTACAAGATTTTTCCAGTATTGTTGTATAGAAGTATGATGACACGTTTACCTCACTATAGGTTGACTAGTTAGTTTTTAAGTGCTTATCACAGATTGTTTTTTTATTATTTATATCATCATATAATTACTTAAACATTCTGTTGGCTGTACTTTTACTGCAGTTGGCATATTGGATGTACAAAGTTGAAATATGTGATCATTTTATTGTTACTATTCAATATACTATTAAGTAGTATATTTAGTAATTATTGAAATAGTTATCTACCGGATGTATTAGAAGTTGGTCGTTAATTTTTTCAAACTGATCGGATTTAAACATATATACACTGTTGGATACTGACTCAGTGATCTAAACGTTAAGCACTTGTTCAATAAGTGTCTAATATCAGTTTTTGTTTTTAACTATGGAGATAACTGGATTCACAACAATGTTGAAACTGATTTCTGGTTTACAGCAATTTTTGTTATGTTGTTGTATTGGTCTCTTACGTTTAACATGTCAGTGTAGACTTGGTGAAAAATAAAAGTAAAAAATCACATAATTTTTAGCAGCCTAAGTAATATAACATGTAATTTAACTATTGTTTCGTTCGTTAAACACTTTGACTACATGGTGAGAAACTCCTAGCTTCGATTTTTTGAAATGAAAAACAAAATTTTCATAAATTTAAAACAATTGGTCCCTTTGATAAATTTCGATAATGCAATGAGAAGACGTAGTTTATCAGAATTATGTGATATATTTGCGCAATACATTTCGAACAATCTGATCACACATACACTTGTTAAGAACATTTATATATGAAAATTAAAAGGTCAACTAGACAGGTTAAGGGTAAGTCATAACAAAGGAAAAATATTAAAGTACACAAAAGCAAATGTGATTACCACTCTGGATAGTAAATCTGTACTACTATCATATCCTCTCTTTTAGTCCTAGTTAATTCAAAACATAGTTTTTCTCAGGCGATTTAATGAAAGGACCAAGAAATTTTGAGCTAAGGAGCATCTGTTGCGCGTATATATGACTTCACATTGTTCTCAAGAGTAGTATAACACGTTAGCTTATTTAAAAGGTTAACAAATCAACAACAAAAAATAGTCTTCTTACTGCTGCACTTCAGCTTGTAAAAACTGAAATTTAGATTTACTGAAAGAAGTAGTATGTCGTAACCACTCCAAACACTACTTACCTATTTTGAAGCATATAAATTCATTGTTTTAACTGTAACTAATAATTTCAGTAGTTGAGATCATGAGTCAATTGAAGCTAGACCACCATGGAAAACCTGGAGGCACTGGACGGCCGTCTCGTCTTATTGTGGGACTCCTCAGCAGTGCACATCCACGACATCGCCTCGCGGGATTCCAACTCAGGACCTATCAGTCTCGCGCGTGAGTGCTTAACCACTAGACCACTGATCTGGCCGGCATCCAACGGTGTTAATGTCTAACGTCAAATAATCCACGAAATTGAGCGACACATCCACCATTGTCATCAAGGAGTTACTATCTCACAACTGACCCGGTTGAACTCCACTGGTCACTGTTTCTCACTAGAACTCCAGGATATACATCTTGAAGCCAGTCACTAGTGAGCATATGTTAATTCGTGTCCGAAGGGGTTTTGTGGAGATTGTAGTAATTTCATTAGTTGAGATCATGAGTCAATTGAAGGTAGACCACTATGGGAAACGTGGTAATAAATAGAGGAACAAAGCGTACCATTTATATAAAAAGAGGAATCCTGTACAACATCAATTTGTTTACTCCTCACAATTTCATCAAGTTGTAGCTAAACAATTGTCTTCATTTTCGGTGAGATCTTAAATTATTGTAGCTACGTTTAAAGTGTTTTTTCTCCACAGAAAAAACGGATATTATGATTCGCCCCTAAAAAGTTCCCTCTTATTTTTCTAGTTTATAGTGATGTGGAAACTGTAGTTGCTAATTTTTCTGTTATGCTTCGTAATCAACTGATTTCTATGCCAATTGATTGTGATGATGCAAGACATAAAATTGGGTAAGTTGAATTGTTATGTTTTGTTTTAATGAAATTAAATTTATTCGAGGAATTCAGTACAATTATGATATAACTCACGAATAGGATCGAGAACATTGTCTTTATTAATAATAATCATTATATACTTGATTACTTTATGAAAGAAATATTTCTATGTAGAACATCTATCAGTTCATTATGACTCCTTGGTTGGTGTCCTATAGATTATGCAGTTCAATCGCTTGAAAAGTTATCAAAGACAGCTCAAAACAGATACCAGTGTTTTTTTACATTGTTAACAAACGTGAAATCAATTCCCTTAACTTGAAAGATTCTTCGTTTCTGTACTTTTTCAAACGAACTGTTTCTCTTACTATAAACTAATCTCATTCACTTACCTTTCTATTTATTTCTATCATATTCCCTCTTCATATATTCCTTCAAGATTTCATGTTTTTATTTGAATAACGCTTATTTATTTTTGTACCCATTAGCATCAGCATTTATGTGTTTCAAATGAATAAAATAATTAAATAAAACAGTAGAACATGGTTAAATTAATTTGACTTGTCACATAGAGGGTTTTTAAAGTATGATTAGTAGAGTTACTACTTTGGTAACAAAGTTTGTAAAATAATTTGTATCCTTATGGTTAATAACCCTTTAGTTACCTGGTCAATTTTATTTTATTTCGTCAACATACAGTTTATCTTTATGTATTTTTTACTGCAAGATCATGCAAATTAGAAAAAGGACATTTTGTTTAAAAAAATCAGAATAGTTGAGTCTTGATTACCCCAAATTATGAAGTTTTTCAGTTCTTCATTGTTCTAAGCTAATTTTCGCTATAAAAGACAGTTCTTTACATAAATTTGTTGACAACTTTCAAAACCCCCTGAAACAAGCGGGCCTAAAGCACATTTCTTAATTAGCTGTCGTGGTTCTTGTCATAGTTATTGTTGGGGACGGTATATCCCCAAAATTCATATTTGTAATTTTATCTTATCGATTAAATGTTTAAACATTTGAATGGAAGTCAATTGACGAACTTATCGATTAAATATTTGAATGCCTGTCGATTGATGAACTTAATGAGTCATGTTTAAAAACATTTTACTATGACAATATCGATTATATATATTTGTATATATACGTTTTAAATTGTGTTCGAGTGCTTGTTCGTTTTCTGGCTGTTTGCAGAATATATTTTCCATACGAAGCTCGGACTTCTCCTTCTAGATAGCTGGGCTGGGACGCATCAATAGGTAGATTACTGCTCTTTGGTCACTGACTCTTGTTCTCGTTCGCAGTTTAAGTGAACTCGTGAAGCTTCAAACCTAACAGTTATAGAGGAAGGTGATTCATTGCTTACCTACTCTGATTTATGTACTGACTTTAGTATCGCTTATAACAACTGTTCTTTCCTACATCCAGGCGATCTACTTCTGATCCTATATAGTGGTTATTTTTGTCTGTCGATGCTTACCTTGAATTAGAAGTGGCTTTAAAACAGTAAAAAATTTAAACTTTCATAATGGTAGAGAAGAGTTGTAGCTAAGGTGAATGATTTTGATGGAGTTTTGTTTTCTGAGCTCAGAAAACAAAACTCCATCAAAAACTTTCGTAATAAACACTACTTTAATAATCTTATCACATTCCAAGTACTGTTGTGCACTCAGCTTATTTCCCGGTTAAAATTAGTTCTTCAAAAAAATCACATTTTAGTTTAAATAGTATTTGAGAGCATATGCTACGATTTTTGATTTTGTTATGAGAACCATTCGTTTTTCTTAAAATCACTAAATTTTCTTGGATTGATTTTTGACGCTAGTGCTTCCTGACTTAACCGCAAAAAAGGCATCCATTTCACAAAACAGATATCATCTTCCTAAGATGTGGTTCTGTTTCAGTCATTTTCGAGGCTCATTAGCCACTACTGAACCTTTGTATAGTCAGTAGATCATACCTGATTTCCACTCTATTTTCTATTTTGTGAAAGCATGCCATGAACTTGAGGCATGGAATATAAGCCTACACCCTATCAATTGAATTACAAACACATTTATTTATAGTTATTGACATTGACTGTAGATACATATGTTGTTATGGATTCAGTTTTACATAGTTCGTGATGGATTAGAACAAACGAAGTGGAGTTCAATCCGTGTCGGGTTTGAGACAGTTATCCACCTCAGACAATGGATGAAGAGTTGCGCAAATTCATGGGTCGATTGAAGTTAGACATTTATACTTTTGGATCCCGACTCAGTTGTTTAGAGGTTAAGCATTTGTGCACAAGATCAAAGGTCATCAGCGTTCGAATCTCGAGTACGGGATCGTGGATGCACATTGCTGAGGAGTCCCATACTGGGACAAAGCGGCCATCGAGTGCTTCCAGGTTTTCAATGGTGGTCTGGCTTAGATCTACTCATGACTTCACCTGTTAAAATCATGGGGTTGTTTAAGGCCTGGCGAAATTGAGAATTAATCATTGATATTAGTTTTTCACAGTTCAAGATCTTCATAGATTTATGTCTAGTCAGATTTTTACATTCTTGATGGATTATAAGCCACATTTTACCGTTTAAAAGGTTTTCGCTCTCATTAACACTTTCTTTCTGTTATATCTGACGAAGACTAAAAGAATGGTAACTTTCAGGATTAATTTATGTACTATTAATATATGTATATTCTTATTGTGTAATTATGATGTAACTAGATTATATGTTTATATCCTTCTTATCATAAGTTTTCGTCCGACCAATTGACTACTGTTGTATGATATACTATTAATCGGTTTCCAGTTTGTTATTCATAGTCTCCCCTACTCAAAGTCACTTTTGGCTTGATCATGTATAATTGTTATTTTTAATTTTATGGTGTGATGCAGTCTGGTATGCTTGTATGTAAACTACGTATTGTTCAAAAATATAATATTCGTATAGTAGAGGCTGATTACGGTGTTCTGGACTTAACGGGCAGGGCAAGGAGAGGAGCTACCGAATCGAGGACTAATAAGAGCTTAGTGTTATTAGTGCTTTTTCACGCAATATTAGACAGGGCTATAATTCATAACTTCCTATTGCTGCAGTTGTCAAGATTATTCATTGTTTACATTCCTTTATAAAACCTACCCTTTAAAAACTTCGTTTTTATCTACAAAACTGTACAACATTAATTGGGAAAATCTATTGAATTTCTTGTTACTAGTGATCTACTCTTTCCTGTTTAGTTCTGATTATGATTTAGTGAATATATCTGATTCTCTGTTTGGTATATGAAGTACGGTATATTTGTGTCGGTTTAGGCGTTACAGACATCACTGTCATTCTTATTCAATGCCTATCGTTAGTTATAATTCTTACTCTACTACATATTCTGTTTGTGTATATATGTGTAAATTCTGTGTACAAGAAAGAGCGATAAAACGAAGGAGTAGGTCCTAATCATATTTTCAGTAATCTAAAGGAATATTGTAAGAATATGTAGAAAAGATGGTAGAGTGAGAAAGTTTTATTATTGCAAAAGATATTTGATAGCCGGGTATCCTTATAGGTCGTTTATTCATCAGTAATATTGGCGAAAACTTAAGTTGTCTACTTTACTGATATTATTGTGTTTGTATAAAATCTGCTGTTTTGATGCCTTATATTGACTAAGAGCTACCAATTTCTAATTGTCTTGATTACTGAGTGATACAGTCAATGCATTTGCTGTCTTTATAAATTATATTCGAGAAAAAATATTTGATAATTTTTATTATAGTTCTGGGAGTGGCCTACATAATAAGAAATTTATATAAATTAAAGAAACGTTGAAAGTTAGGAAGCACTAGATAGTTTTGTTCTGTTTTGGAGCTTCCGAGTAAGATGAAGTGGGGATCACACACACTGGGTCGAACTAGTCATCTTGGGATCTTTAACCTACACGATTTTTTTAATGCTCATTCTAAATTCAGTCCGTATTTTACTACTAACTATGATCATATGCTTATTGATAACTAGATGGATTTCCCTTCGTTCTGCTGGGAAAATTACATGTGGAGTCAAACAAGTCTAAAGTATTAAGTTACTGATGCCATTGGATGTGAGTCATTGTACTATATTATAAGTTGTAGAAATAGACTACTTAATTCTAACTCGATGCTCTGAAGTTATCATGTTTTACGGAAAGAGTGAATGTCTTTGCTTCGTTCTCCGTTAGGTTTGGAAGTACACTGTAATACGGAGTGCCGAACTAGAACGACATAGCTGTACATTGCTCCTTGATTTTCAATAGCCTTTCAACCGAATTCATTTCGGATTGATAATTGCTCTCTAATCGTACAAAGTATTCATCTACTTTAGTAAAAGTATGTTATTCAAAAACATATTGTGGGTATATTGTCAATACCGTTTTATAGGTATCTAACACAATTAGAAGTGGATTATGATCCTGGTTGGTTATGTTTGACATATTTCAAAGATTGGCTGATCGATCAACTACGTAATTACCAACGTATATCTCATCAAGATATGGTCGATGGTAATTCAATGAAAAATAAACAGTTTGATGGTTCTAATATCATTGGTAATCTTCTCTCCGTGGATAATAAATCGTCTATAATGAATCCTGATTCATTCATCTTATTTGCTGAAGGTTAGTAAGCTGTTAACCGCGTCATGTTGCTAATCGGAATAATTTAATTATAACTATGAATATCAACATTCTCTTTTATTTTTGTAGACGTTTTACTAATATTATAATTTGTACAATCTCATCTTTTAACACTGTGAATACACTGGGTTTGTGTTTTACAGAATTGTCAATAACGAATGAAGTATCAGTACGGGGATGTGGAAATAGTTCGATTCTTATTAAGATCGATAACCGATCTAAGTTAGGTTCAATGTTCTAGAGGTTAAGTGTCCTCATGTGAGACCAGAGGTCCTGGCTCCGATTTCCGGTGCGCGGTTGTGCACACTGACTGCTAAGGAGCCCCATACGATGACAGAACGGGCGTCAAGTACTTTCAGGTTTTCACTGGTTGTTTAACTTTGACCGGTTCGTGATGTTTATCAAAATAAAGAAGTATATCGTTCAATGTGTAGATGGTGTTTAATCAGCTTCTGTACCAATTCAAATTTCTCACATTATTTTAGTTTCTTTGCTATCTGTTAAGGGATTTCATCGAATATTTTTTCGTTTAAAGATCCCCGTCATATTAAAAGACTAGTATTTGAACGAAGAATATTCTTTTCGATAAATTCTCATCAGTTTCTACAATTATATATCCAAATTAATAATCCGAAAAAATGGCCAGGTTAAGGGCAAAGTACATTGTTTAGAGCATGTGAATTTAGGATTGTGATAAACAAAATACAATAAAATTGTTAATGTTAATATGACTCTTATAGAATGTTAACTTGAATCTGCGTATATATTAAGTGAAATTTTAAGATCCATGATCAGAATAAATATAGGTCAAATAGGGTTAGAGAGAAATAATGGTGCAATTACAATTCGATCAAATAAGTAAGACGTAATACGGAGGGATGAATGCGAAGTGAATGGATCATGTATAGGGGAGATTAATGATGTTTAACCAATAATACGAATAATAATAATAATAATAATAATAATACAAAGAGTTATGAATAAAGATAACAGGGACAATTACAATTGACTACGAAAGGTCATAGTCAAATTAATGGATAGTCCTTATGGTTATTAGAAAAAATACATTAATAAATAACTATAACAAATTATCGAATAATTTATAAATTGTGATGTACAGATATATTATGTACTTATCTGGTAGCATATCAGTAATAGCAATCTATCAAAAATTGAATTTTGTTCTCTTACTTAACCTATTTAGTCAGTATCAATGCCAACGTCAGGCTTGATAGTTTCAAATAAATTGAGCATTGGGTAGAAAGTTAATAATAAATCTACTATTTGTGATATCTCATTAAGCAAAAAACTGTGTTTTTGATGTTTCGTGACTTAATATAAGCCACTTCGACTCATGAATTCAACTATTAAAATTTTTATTTACCAATGTCAGTTATTCAAATATAGTTGAGTTTTCTTTTAAGATGAAAAGGTAACCATTTGTCATATTTATCACTTATTATATAATTTATATTTCATTATTCATGTAATTTCTATACTGACAATTTTTTTACTACGATATCAACCATATATAAGCACTAATATTATTAAACGAATAAACATCAAATTCACTTTTGATTATAATTTAGACTTTTATGGTGTTCCACCAATGGTTGGTATGGTAAAAGCAGTATGTCGTTTACTTACTACACATGTTATTCAATTTTGGCGTTTGGGTACAGCTTATATTTCGGGGCAGTTAAATTATAACAATCAAGTTGGTTTTGAAAGTGTTCATTTAAAAGTGTTTCATACTTTTATTTAACCGTTATATATAAAAAAATGTGAAATGAACATAGAAAGTAGTCATTGTTATTATTATTAGTAATTAGCCAATGTAATTTATAACTAGTTCCAATTTTTGCAAGTTTTATGTTTGTAAAAAATGAATTATTAGAGTTAAATCTCTTATGCAATCATCATATTCCCCATTTATTCATTTGTTTAACATAATCAAAAAGATTAGGATTTAGAATACTATTAAATTAAATTTGTTTAATATATTTTACCATGAGTATTGATCCTCTTCTATATAATATAAAGTATTCATTCACTAAAATTATAAGTATTATATTTACATATAATTCTGTTAATGTGGTAATTAGTAGAAAGCACTGGATCTTTGACCATTACATTATAGATTTGAAAGCCACTCATTCTATTTTAGTTTGAGTAGGGAGTAGATGGATTAATATTAATAACCTCAGAAGACTCACAGGAGACTGATACATAAACATGTATTTGGTAAGTTAGATTATTATTATCATAGCATTAGATTGAGGCAAATATCTATCAGTTTGTTTCTTTTTCTATACACAGAAATTTTATGATAAACTTGGTCAGACGTCATCAACAAACGATCCTAAAGCGGCATGGCTGGTAATTTATTGAATTTTATTTTATATATATATATATATATATATATATATATATATATATATGTTTAATTTTTTGGTAATATTGTGCATTTCTTTTGGAGGATTACAGGAGAAATACCTCTCGTATCATCATTATTTCTGATAGTATTGATGTAAAATGAGGTTCTTTTTTCCGAAAGTCGAATCTATCGCTTTTTATGAATTTATGATTATATTATTCGTCAGTTTCTTAATAATTTTAAAGTTGATCTTTTATATGGCGTTAAATGGTTGAGACGTCTATACTACTCAAAAACTAACAATAAATTGTCGCAACTATTTATACAGTTTTGATTAATTGAATATGTACTCTATATCTTCAATATGTACTTCCTTAATATAGCTCATTTAACAATTACAGATTTATGTACATGACTTAGAGCTACACTTTATATATGGGGTAGCTATTAATACTATCCAGCTGCTCATACTGAAGTGGTTAGGACAGGGTCAGTTAATTTAGATAGCAGGTTTTAATATTTCTCCGTACACAACTTCTTATTTCTTCTTCTTGAATCATATGCTTAATTTTTACTCTTTCTCATTATCATTACTACTTCGATTATTATTTTTTTGCTATTTAATGCAATTGATTTTGTTTTATTGTATTATTGCATGAGAACTTGGACTTATGTACGTTTGTCTTAGTCTTCACGTTGATTACAAATGACTAAGTGGTTGATCAGTTGAAAATACTCACGTTTTATTATTTATGCATCATGATTGGGTCCGTAACTACTTGTAAACTATATGCCTAAATATTTTATCATCTTTCCTTTTTAAATCTTCCACTGGTTTTTGTTTTAAATATTTCAGCAAATTAATTTAGAACTTGTACACTCTGTGTCCAATCACATGCGTGATAATGTTCTTGAAGCTTTCAGCACTACATCTAATGAAACTTCATTAACTGATCATTTATTAGAGTGTATAAAAGAATATAGGTAAGTCAGTTTAGTTATTCTACTTATGGCATTAATAACTGGTTAAAATTATTGTTATAATGTTCAGATTGTGTAGGTGTTACAGAAGGACACATAATCTTAAAACGGAATGGAAGCATACATGAGCTCATTATTTAACAGAGTACCACGAATCAATTATAACCCTAACTGATAATTAAAAAAATGGCTTTAACTCTTGACTGTATGTAAGTATAGCTACAACAGTTCTCATAACTGGTGTGTTGTCTCTAGGCTTTTTGAAATCATTTTTGTATTGGTTGTTTGGATCTTCCCATTGATGTTTAGGGCTGCAAATGATCAATCTCTTATTGGAATATGTGCATCCTGTGTGGATCGACTCGATATTGCCTTAAGTCACAAGCATTATAAGCAGGATGTATATATATATATATATATATATATATATATATATATATATATATATATATATATATATATATATATACTAATACAAAAATGAATTAAACTTCACCTCATTGCACAAGCTTGTGGCTTTCTGGACTTAGTGGCTAAATGGATAATGCGATGGCGTTTGAAGCGAACGGTACTGGGTTTGAGCCCCGAAACGGACATCAACTCTGGTATATGGGTTACAACCAGCTGACTTAGTCCCGAACGGGACGAAATGCGCGTCGTGAATTCCACTGTTAGCCACCACCATCTTTGTTTACATTTTGGTTGTTATTATATTTCTGTCTTGGAACTATGCGAAAATCAACTATTCTCTTAACAAGCATTATAAGAAAAGATGGATAGTGGCTAGCAGTGGAATTCAGGGTTCGAGACCCAAATAGGATGACACGCGCATCCTGAGTTCCACTACTAGCCACTATCCATCTTTGCTTATAATGCTTGTAAATTAAGGCAATACCGAGGCAATCCTTACTGTATGTACATATGCCAATAAGAGACTGATCTATTGCAATCCTAAACATCAATGGGAAGATTCAAGTAAAACAGTCAATTATTCTCTTAACGTTTTACTATTTTCTTTATCATTCCATGGGAAAGTTTCAAATTGTTAGATCATTTCATGGATTTGAAACAACTGTTCTAATCAATATTTATTTCGAATTTTATTATGATCAGTCATTAAATCTTTTATTAATAGTGTGTTCCTTTGATGTTAAAAATTGTACTTTACCTTACCTACACCCAACACTTCGTAATTGGCTATGTCTAAGCATATTTAAACAGACTTTATTCACAATACTGATATTGATCTTAGTTCGAATTACCTGGTTAGAGCAGACTTATAAATGCTGTTCTAATTTATCTTGTGTTTACAATTCATGACTGAATAAGTGTACGATGAGTGTCGTAATCATATTCAGATTAGTGCAACTGATTTTGGACCACACAATTTTAAAACTAGTACTAAGTTGATCACATTAATACAGTAGATATGTGATATGAAGGTTATTTATGATTTATATATCGGATACTCACGTTGTATTCCTTTATTGGGGTTTAGTGCGAGCTTACAATATTTATGGATTTTAGGAAAATGATTGAGTTGTTCTAGCATAATCGGTTCTCCGTGTAATCGAAAATGGCAATTTACACACAGCACATCAATACGTGGCGACTAGCATAAGGAGTAGTTGAATTGTAAGGAAATTTGATATTTGAGGTAAAACAAACAGTTCAAAACGAACTGGTATAACTCCGTAAATATATAGTAACAAAATATGACCTTCAAGCAGACGAATTTAGCGAACTAAAAGCCATAACGATCAATCAGAAGGTCATATGTTATGCGTAAAATTGAATTAACAAAAGTACGTGGGCGGTTATCGTTTTTGAAATTTGACTATTCTTGTAATCGCCTTAGCAGTATATGAAGTGTTTTGTGTGACAGACAAAGATGTGAACTTGTAAAATGATTAATGAGGGTCCTCGCAACTAACCCTAACCAATTATTTGAGATATTCAATGATATTAATCAGGGGGAGGGGGGAGGGTGGGAAGGGGGGTGGTGGGGAGGGGGGGGGGGGGGCGGGGGAGGGGAGGGGGATTCGATCACAATGACGCCAATGCATTCACCTTTTGTTTTAAAATACATATACTTTTCATTCCACTGATTCATTCTTCCTTCTCTAATCACATAATGTATTCCTAATTTTTCATACTACTAATACTGTCACTTCAACTATACTGGTAAAAAGTCAAGGCATAACTTTCCGTCACCGCTAAGTGCTGATCAGAGAGTTTGCAAACTTAAACCAATCACGCAAGATCAAGGATCGACCTAGTACACCTAAACTGATAGGATAACCATATAGATAATAGGCTTTATAAATTCCTAAAAAGACACCACCATCCTAATGAGCACCATCAAAAATGAGTAGACCAATAAACTTATACATATATCTCCCCCAATCAAACCCCACCCCTCCCAAACCAACAACCAATACAAGACCAAAACAACCCACACAGACTCACCCAAAACACCCCCCTACCCCAGTAAACAAAACCCCACCAACCTCAAGACAAAAACAACACCTCAGAGATCGAAACTGCTACATGCCCAACAAAACCACCTATGTTCCCACTGTGCCCACGCTTCTCCACGTAACCCATGCCCACAATGACCAGTCACAATAAAACACAGCCCTCTTACGGTCCTACAACCAAACCAACCAAACTTAAACAGACAACACATCCCTATAACCTACAGTCCACACCACCCGCATCAACACCCAGCCACCCCCACCCGCCTCAAGGCGATTTCGGCAATACAGAAAGATGTAACCAGATACGATCCACCCAGTGTGAGTGGAATACAACGAGAACTTATCCATAACGTTCTTCACAAATATTCAATCCTGAGGTGAAACGCCACCCAATTCCAGACCCCACCCCGTCGTCAACAATGTCATAAGATCACTATGAAACAATAATGCAACATAGCAAAACCCCGATGTCGTGGATTGAGAGGAGCCATACCTCAACCCCCCTGTGCACCCCTACGCAGACAGGAAAACAAACCTCCAAAGGTACCCCCAGTTTACTACAGATAACTAACATATAACTGTTCCGCCTTCCCACAGATGGAAGGAGACAGTTCGAAAAGGTCACTCTTAAAATTATAACTCCTCTCGTCTTACAGCTATTTAGTATTTTTTTATGCAGCTTAAAAGTGCTGATCCTGGATCTCAAACGTAATCACTCAGTAAATGGTCTTGCGTAACCGGTCTCAGTCCATTGTCTCTTCAACTTCTCAGTCATACTTGCAGGTTGATGAGATCGTTGATAACTATGCAAAACTTTAAATTTCTCAAGAAGAAACATTCCTCCACAATGCAGAGATAGAGAAGCTTACCTAGGCTACTCTATTTTGCAAACAATTCTTCATTTTTAAAATTTTACCTGGTTCCCTGCTCTCAACACCTTACTTTCCAGCTTAGTCTTTTCCCACATGTCAAATCAATGCTAACAATTAGGGATGACGATATTTCATCCTTGGTCTTCTGAAACCGAATTCCAAACTCCTTGTTTCAGTTTTCAATGTTCAGATTTTTCATGTAATTAAACAATGGGATTCACTTATCAAAACTCTGGGATCCCATAGCTTAAATGTTTTCTTTGTCTTTGAAAATGTCGTGTCGGACTTATATGTTGTTATTCACATAACCTCATCTCACCAATATAGGGGATACACACATTATGTAGTGATACGTTACCACTTACTCGTGATTTCATAGTTGCTGATACACGATTTAGTTTGAAAACAAAACAAAGACTTTTGTACTGAATCCTGGCTGATTGTTATATGTATGGCGTTAAATTACTTAAAACTATGAGTACTCGGAAACATCGAGATATAGATCACCGCTTATTTGTCATCATTGCCCATACTTCTATCAGCATGATAGGTAAAATATCCGATTGTAGTGTAATATTAAGTAAAAATGCTGAATCTTCTAAGAAAGTAAAGTCTCAGAACCAAGCACCTATGGATCATCGTTCTTTTAATTCCTTTATTATAATGTAATTTCTGTTAGTGTATATTAACAGGGGAAATCGCCTTTGTTACATCTACAAAATAAAATAATGAACTTCATTTTGACTTTACATATGTTTGCTATTACTGAGTTATCTGTGTTCAGACACAAGAAATTTCTTGAACTATCACTTTATACTTTAGAGCTGTCTGATAATAACCATCGTGTGTTTCTTTTCAAGGATTTATGTTATAGTCTACATCGTGATCTGGCCTTAGACAACTATTGAAAATCTAGAAGCACTGTATACTTTCCCTATCCTAATGCAAGTTTTCTCGAAAATATAAACCACTGGATACCGATTTACTAATCTAAAAATTCGATCCTTAGTGTATTTGAGGGTGCGGGCTGTTGAAGGGTCGCATAATAGGAGGAGACAGTTGTTCATTGCTTCGTGGTTTTTAATGATTGTTTAGCTAAGACCAATCCATGCTGTAAACTATGAAGCTGAACACTTCACAAGTTTTCTATACTTGTAATGATCACGTGCTTGTTAGTGACTAATTCCAAGGTTAGGTTTGTTAGTTACACTTATTTCTCCCTTTTTTTTCTTCTACATATTATTAGACAATGTTGTAGTTCCCTGCCATTGTCGGAGATGTCATCTGAAATCTGTGATATATTTGCTAAACTTGCTTATGATCTACGTAAACTTGCTGTTCGTGGAATATTTCTTCGTGCTCAACTTAGTAAGTTGTGAATATTTTAATTTAGTGGTCATATATTACTATCTTAGTCAAAAACAAACTAGTCATTTGAATAAATAACAAAAAATCTAACATTTAACTTTTTTTATTTAAGTAGAATAACGTTCTCAACAGTGTAAATATTAATATTGATAATTATTTTACAAGTAGTGTCTTGTATACTGATAGATATAAGTAGTATGTAGCCACAATTGGATGTGGAATGCATGGCAGCAGAAGATTGAATTGAAGAGAACAGAGCAATCAAGATAAAAACAGAATTGGAACAATCATGAGGCATGTAAACGACAACTGAACGAAGATGTACAAATAATGGATTTAATGTATGGTTTCCATATTTTACCATGATACTGTAATTTTGCATGAAACAATGAGTTTCAACCACCTGAGTTTTCATTCACTTCAGTAGTAGTCTATAGAAAGTTGTTATGTTACTAACATTAGTATCAAAAGTTCATTTTCTATTTTTATTACAATTATGTATAAAATAAATTTACAGTAAACTTGGTTGTATAGTTTGAGTAAACGATATCATGGGAGAAAAAAGCTTTCACCAATTAAATGACTCAATGAGTTTCTCTCATTGTTTTCTACCTACTTGGCACGTATTTATTCCGTTCAAATCACGATAAACATTTATAATAGGAGAACAGTTATAATTTAAAATCATATTTTTTCAAGGGATAAAAATCTATTATGTCAGCTGAATGGAATTAAAGAAATCAATGTACATTAAGCAGATCATTATTAATTTATATCAGAAAAATTAGTTAACATTTATTCTGTAATATTTAAGTAATTGTCTAATAATAGTTTATTGAAACTTATCTGCTAATTAGATTGATTTTTTTTGTCGTTACTTAAAACGTAAACTAATCTTTTTTTCGTTGCTTGGTTTGTCATTTTTTGTATAATTTATTATGATTATTAAGTTGGTAGTGCAATATCGTGGGTTGATTGAAGTTGGATATTAAAACTTTCGGATCCTGACTCATTGGTTTAGGGGTTCGTGCGTGAGACCAAAGGTCCTGGGTATTCGAATCTCAAGTACGGGATCGTTGAATGAACACCGTTGAGGAGTTCCATACTGGGACGAAACGGCTGTCCAGTGTTTCCAGGTTTTCGATGATAGTCTAACATTGATCGTTTCATGATCTCAATTATTTATTAATTCTTTAAAAATGGTAAATTTTAGCTATTGAAACATTACAAATTAAAGAAAGATGGGATGTGGATTTAACTGATACTGATGGTGGAATTACTAAACTTGTATGTATTAGTTTTTATATTTTATTTTGTCATAAAAAATTAATTTAACCTTTAGTGCATTTTAATTGAGTATATGTTAACATTGATTATAATTATTGGAACAGTGGTGAATAATATCATACTCTCATGTTTTTAACATATAATTAAATTCTATCGATCAAATTACAACTTAGCTACTAATGTAAATTGAAATCTCATGACAGATGGATGGGGTGGAGACATCGTTTTTTGCAAGATTGTTGGTAAATAATACTGATGAGTGCCAACTAGCAAAAATGCTCAGTGCAAGTCTTCCTGCTGATTACCTTCACTTACTTACTTACTACTTACTCCTGTTACTCCTCGTGAAGGAGCATAGACCGCTCACCAGCATTTTCCATCCAACCCTGTCGCAGGTGATTACCTTCAACTATTCAAAATCGAGTACATGGTGGATTGCTTTTAGCCTTTAGGTTTATAAAATGTTGTGAATTTCATTTTGAGTTATCTGTTAGATTGATGCAAATATATTCATTAAAAAAGTTATTTGTGGGCTTGAGCTTGATGTGTAGTGTTTAGTTTGGTTAATATTAGGCCAGATGATATCTAGGGTTAGATAAAATAAAGTTGTAATGTCAGTCAATGAAGTTATCGACTGTTTAACTGAGATGCTGCTATATTGTTAGGTTGAGATTTGTTTGCTGATATCTTCATAGTCTAAAACTTGCGAAGCTGAATGACAAGATCCAAAATCTAATCTTAGTACTACTGTAGTGACTCATGTTTATCACGAGAACACGACTGGTTTAATAAAAACAATTATTATTATAACCAACTGTACCAGTGTTTGTTTTAATGCGCTTTTGTTTAACTGTGCTAATTATAGCCATTTTTGTGCTTCCATTACCTTCCATCATTGTTCCGCGGTTTTTGGTACTGTTCGCACGTACTCCTGCCTTCTGCTTTCGCTTGTACCTTTTCTTGGCACGATCTCGGTATTCGTTCAATACCACGAGATCGCCAACGAAATAAATCTGGTTACGTTCAATCCTCGCCTTCTGGTTTATCTGGCACGTGTTTCTTGGTAGCGGTGTTCACAGTTAATCTCAACTCGACGCCACGCTACACTACAATGTTCTTGATTTTTTTAATTTTAAATCTGAAGTGAAGCATCGTTTCAGTTTCCTTCTTCAACGTCTTTCATTCATCTTAAATCATATTTCTTATGTTTGACTTTCTGTCGGATTTATTACTAGGTTTCTCTGTTCTGCTTCGTATCTCGTTAATTTCTTTAATGTGCTAATGTAAGGTATAATAACTTAGACCAATAAAGATACTTTATGTTAGGTCGTGCACTGTCTGTCATACTGATTTAAATGTTGGCCATTTGAACAAAATGAACTGTATTACGTCTATTTGGATGTTACATTTTAAAAACGATGTGAAATTAGCTTCATATTTGTAGACCTACAAATAATTATGGTTCTATATGTAGCATTATTTCTTAACTTAAGTAAAATAATAATCATGATCAATTATATTGATTGATTAATGAATAGTATGATCAGTGTCGCGTGTGCCTAGTCTTTGCTAGTGATTGTGTCCATGAAGTTGCGATGTATTCATTAGTCTAGGTGACTTACCGTCACACTCACTGTGTATTGATTATAACTGGGTGTAGTTAGTAGGCAGGAAACCATAATTGTCAGTAATTCATACTTATAACTTTGAAGGAATTAATCCTCCTCGTGGAATTTGAACCTACGACACCCATCTTTGAAGTGTGACACGTTACAATAGAGCTATTTGAGCTGCGACTGATTTCTTGTAAAGTTTCTTTCCGACTGCTTTGTATTACCTCGTGCTAACTGACTATGTTCTACACTATATATTCTAAAATATTTTTCTCTTTCTTTAAAGCCTTTATTGTATGAAGATATTATTGCCGACTCATTCATCCTTTGTGAAGATCAAGTATTTCCGAGAACATCAATAGAAAAACCAGTAAGTACAAATAACTACTAAACGTTAAACTACAGTATTTGTTCCATTATGAATAGTAATATTTTTCATAAATCTAGATTATAATTAGATAATTTGTTGCTCTCTGTTTTTGAATTCAAACTTACAATTTTCTGATTTATTTGTATAAAGATTATCATAGATCCAAGTGGAAGAATTCCAATTTATTCTTTTGTATTCATTTAATTAATTCAACTAACAATTTACAAATAGGACAAAACACGCCTCTTGGATTCCATTACTCTAGCTATAATCTATCTATTTTATATAACAAAATGGATATATCAAAGCAATCCTCATATAATGCACATATATACCAATAAAGACTGATCAAAATTCAGTCATGATTATTAACAATTAGATAACTCTAAACACTTACTCTTCATAATATTGAATTTATGGGTTTTCACAAGCAAACACATCTATTTAAATTAATCAAACCATAAAAGTTTTTATCAGTTTTCATTACTGATATTAAACTCTCTGTAGATTATATCTATTAGGTTTACCTACGGTAATTAGAATAAAATTTTAATTATATATTAATAAGCTGTCTTGAATTTGTATGTAAATAAAAAGGCATTATATGTAAGTGATATATATTACAACAATTATGTTTCGTGTTTGTCATTTGATCAGTTAAATGATTCGATTTTATTTCAAGTTCGTCATAATTTTGACTGAATCCAAATATCTATTTATCTTTCATTATGATATGATTGAATATGATGTTTTGATCATATTGAAGTATCGATGAAAAAAACAGTCACATGTTGATTAGCTTAAATTGAACTGCTATATAGGGCTCTTTTACATTTGTTAGACTCATATCTTCTATTTGGATTCACAGGTTAGTTGATTCCTTCATCAGACATGACTCTGTATTTGAATGTATTGACATCGATCTATAGGATAGCATGACTGATTACTTTTTGTCATGTATTTTTCTCAATAGTAGGGTGATAGATTGTCTTCACTAGTTAAATTTTTCATGATTTCATCCAGGACAGGAATTCACTGAATAGTGTTTTAAAATCATTACTGGAATGATATGACTTAAATTCTTCTAATTTTGCTTAATTTATTAAATTCATTAACTGTTTATTTGTTAACTAATATTTTGTTTCATTTAGCTTTTTGACTCTGATGAACTTCAAGAACGTTTTCCAGAGTGGTCCGGAATAGGAATGATTAGTTTCATCGCAGTATCACAACGTTTAGCTGATCAAATTGAGTAAGTTAACATGAAAGGGAGTTATACTTTTTACCAACTGTATTGTATTTTTAGTCTAAGAGTTCTCTGTATTTTTGAATGTTTGATTTGTTGATTTTTAAAATTACTATGAAAAACTCAAAACAATCCTAATTTAAACTTTATAAAAAGCTTGGTGTTTGCTCATTTGGTGTGAAATGCTCATGTGCATTACGAACTCGTTTTTAAAAGTGTACATATGTAAAACGGCAGCTATTGATAGCAAATCGGAATCCAGCATTCTAGAACTACAGTTAATTCCAGGCAGTTGGTTCTCTTCACAAATTTAAATAATGCTCGAACGACGATATTCATTCTGTTCCATTTGGATGTCTTGTTATGATTTCAGATCAAAGGGATGGTGTTCCGTGAAATTAGTCAGCAATGTTAATCATTATTGATTGACTAACAAAATTTGCCTTCATTTAGATGTTTCACACCGGATCGTTGTGGTATATTTTTTTATTTGAGCATCTCTGTGGATTATATCGGCAGACGTGTGAGTTACATGCCAAGCAACAAAGCTTCACATTGAGTCATATTCAACTACATGTCAGATAGGTTAAGTATATGTTTTTCTGGATTGTCAGAAATTTCTTCAACCGTTTTCTCCAAGGCTAAAGCTCTCGATAATGCTTTACAGGTAGTTTTATCTGTTATGCATTTGGAAGAACTATAATAAAATTTACCGGATATACTGTATTAAGTCTATTAATATAATTGTTACATCAACCAGTTGTCAATTCACGATTCTGTATAATGATGAGCGTTCTCATTCCTTGCTGACATCAATTCCACTGCCTACATAATTGAAACTTATGGTTTACAGCTTTCTAACTTAGACAATATAACAAGTCGGTTTATCTCAGGTTTTCGATTGTTTCCGAATTTCATTGTTGTTATAGCAGAGCTAATTATCATTTAGTTTGTAGTATATTTGTATCCCCTTATTATTATTATTATTATTATTATTATTATTATTATTATTATTATTATTATTATTATTATTATTATTATTATTATTATTATTATTATTATTATTACTGATTATTCTACAATGAAGAGGGCCGTTTATTTCGTTGGTGTTCATATTCGATGCAATAGTTTATACGTGAAAATCCACTTACAGATTTATATTGCTAGAATGTAGTATAAAACCATAAAAATCATATTTTTACCATTGATATTTATTGCGAATACAGGTCGTGTTTTTGTTATGAAAATAGGTATATGGTTTTGGGTAAAATATAAACAACAATCTGTTTGGTAGTTTATTTCATATCTACAACTGTCTGAAGTGATCGTCTTATTAATGAACATGGGTGTCATCTAGGTTCTCATTCACATAGTTCATAATCGCATACTAAGTAGTTTTGAGGTTGGTCGCAAATTTCAAAGCAAGAAGGATAAGTCGATTGTGGAATTTGCTTAATTGAATTATTGAAATATACAATTCGTATTCTAATCAACCGTTAACATCACTAAGAACGTAATGTACAAGGATTCATTTGCAGCCAGGTAGGAGGCTTATTTGGTCATACAATTGTTACTAACTACTAATTTTGTTCGCAATTCAACAGATTATACCGTTCGTATATCACTTTATTTCGTAGAGAAACATTGGATGAAGTGAGAGAACAACAAACTAGAGTACTTTACAAATCATCTGAAATGTTCTAAGTATGGTGATCTTTGAGAATGAAGTGTTGAACTGTTTCTTCTGATTTGTACCTAGTGCTTATCCCCGTTATGCAATGATTTTTCTTTAAGTAACATTCCATCGAAGGATACGACTAATTCAGGAAATGACATCATACTGAAGATCGCTGAAAGGTCAGGAGCATTCAGGTAGCTCATCGTTTGCTCGAGATTAGGATTTTCCGGTGATGTTTACTGATAAACTTAGACAGAACTGACATCGCTGTGTACTTTGGTAGAGAACAAGCACTTACTCAATACAAGAAGTTAGGAAAACAAATGAGTGTTGGTCGGAATCAAATTAACAATTGACTTTCTTTAGCTTACCATTAGCTTTCAAAATCACATTCCAATGGATGATTACTTTCAGAGAAGCAAAATAACATGATCCCATTCACTAATAAACAGTTATTTAATTCATTACTTTTTTTAGTGTGATGCCCACGAATTAGGCCTAACAATCAAATCTTAATTGACTAGAGGATACGAATAACTTAGAAACCGATTTCTCCCAATTTCCTATGACCATCTGTCATGTTTATTTTGTGATAATATTTTGTATACATGTACATCACTTCATTACATGGAAAATCAATTGTCCTGGGTAGCGATTTTTACTTTTGATTTCGAGGATTCACGTCAATAACGTAATCTCGTGATCACCCATAACTCACCTGCATCATTTCATTGAGTTCATTTACCGATCAACATTTTATTTCCTTTCATTTTAAATATTGAAAAGTCATTAGTCGATTGATTTAAATTCTCTAGAACATTTTCATTACAGCATTAGAAGTGTGGATGTTAGTGATAAATCAGTGGCTAGCAAATCTTTATTCACTATTGATGGACATTTGCTGATCATTAATGAATAAGTCAAATAAATAAATTGATAACGACCACCATGGCTAAACCTAACAAAATATCAGATTTAATTTCATTAATTTTTTAAACTAACCAATCTGTATTTAAGTAGATAATTATTATCAAACGAAATTGCAACACTTACTCAACAGTGTCCATCACTGATTGTTTTCCGCAGTACAAAGATTTTATTTTCATACTTGGAACGTAATTTTGATAACTTGTTACTTAATTTCCGATTTTATGCAGTCAGTCTTTTTATCTCTTTTTCTGATAATTAAACCTAATGGGTTTTCTGAGAGTGAAATGGTTGTGAATAACTGATCATGAGTGTATGAAATTTATCATATGATTGAATCTATATCATCGCATCTTGTTATATACATTAAAGAATTATGAAATAGTTTAATTTCGCATCACTAACAATAAGATGATAGAACACTCATATATAATTAAGTATACAGTTTTAATCCATTCATCAGTTCGATTTGTTAAAAGTCTGTTAACATATTCAGTTTCGGTTTCATCCATTTTCTGCTATAATAGAAATGCAACGGAGAATTCAAATCAATCGACTAACGAGTTTTCAATGTTTAAAATGAAAGGAAATAAAATGTTTATCGATAAATGTACTCAATCAAAAGATGTAGGCGAGCGATGGGTGCTCATGAGACCGTGTAAATTCTCGAATAATTAGAAATCTTTTATGGTTACTAGAGAATGAGACTAAAACTTATTGAGTTTAGTAATAATTACTGATTTTTAGTCAACCTTATTTTGCAGATGATAATTATCCTATAATGTAAATGGCCACTTCACCAAACAAATGTCGGTGTAATCAAAAAGTTAATGTTATGAGCGTAGGCGGTCATCACTCTTGGTCTCAGGATGTTATTTGATTTTCTGATATTTACTATTAGGTTAAAACTGATCGACCACAAATTGTGCTTAATATTGATTTTTTAGAGGATAACCGATGAAAGTCCAAATTCCTATCTCTAAAGGTCTAAAAGTTAGGCGTTCGCGTGCGAGATCGAAGGTCTTGAGTCCGTACCCTGATGGAGTTATGGATGTGCCTGCTTAGGAATCTCGTAGTGCAAAGTAAGACGCGATGATCATTCAGTGCTTCCAGGTTTTCACTGGTGGTCTAACCTAGATCGATTCACGATTTTAATGAAACCCAACAATCTCCACAACCCCTTAGTGATGAGTAACTGTTTTTTCTGCATCCATAAATGCTTATCAACAGACCCTATCAATTTTGTAACCCACATAATTGCTTATTGAATACTTCTCACAAAATGTTATTTTTATCACTTGAAGGAGTTCTTGTATCAGAAGTAGACCGTAAATTACTATTAAATATGTTATAAGGTATATATTTACCTACATATAGGATAAACAACCGTTTAAAATTTTAACCATTGGGAATTAGTCGTATAAGAACGAAAGAATTAAAGCGAATGGACCAACATCCGACTGATTAGCGTTTTTTTCTTATATCGCATTAAAGCTCTTGACTTAGAAGACTTATTTGTTGAAAAAAGTACCTGACTTACTGTTGAGTATAAATGCTTACAACTGACATTTCTAGAATGAAATATTTATAGTGTTTGTCTGAAATCGTTTTATTTTCTATATGATCGTCATTAAAAAAGGCTGATAACGGTAAAAATAAATGCCTCCCTAGAGAGATAAATCTTGAATTGAGCAATTTCTCTACATACTAATCATTTTCTTTTTTCTATAAATCAGTTAGTGAATAATTTATATTCTATGTATTAATTCTTTGTAATATTACACACTCTCCAATCCAACCATTTATCTGTTTCTTATATTTTCTTGTCTAATTTTTATTTCTCTTGTTATTGTGGTTTGTTTCATTTCTTAAGTTAATTGCTGTCAAAGAATCTTCTTCATTTTATCCACTTTCACACCAATTTCTGTTTGTGTGAAACACAACATTCACATATATGTGCATACTCATTACGATAAAACAAAACACTGGTTACTGTCATTTTACATTGTTTATTTAGTCTTTACCAGTTACTTTTTATTAATGCTGTTCCATTTTACGAATTATTTATGTCTGATTGATGATAAATTGTCATATTTGTTGTAATATTAATTAATTAATCTTATTTCATTCACTTCATTAGATTATGTCAATTTTTTGTGAAATTGATGAATAGTTTTGGTGTAGAATTAGTCTCTGTTATTAATATCCAGTTTCTTGATACTGTTTTTTTCCACTCGACTTAGATTATTACTTTTCACTTTTTGTAATGTGTGAAGCTTATGGATGAGAATCCACGGAATTCTATCCCATTTAATTATTATTATTACCGCTATTAATAATAATAATAACCTAAAACTATTATCCTTTTGTTCTACGTGTTATTTACGATTCACACAAAAATTATACATAATACAGAAACTTTATCAAGGCTACTTTTATTATTAATGTGTTGTTAGAGTAGATTTAATTTGCTACAAGCCGTCACATTTTCACGTTATTATTAGTCAAAGATATTTGCCATTATCTAATAGTTGTTAATATTATTGGATAGGATATGTTCTATGGTTAGTTTTGGTTTTATTAATTATCCGAATTTCTGTTTTTACCATATCACGTTTCCTGAAAACTTTCAATTTTATATGCCTTTAAATCCACATAGGAAATTTTCCAATCATCCAAATATTTTTTCAAGTAGATGCTCGAACTACTTATTTGTTTTTTAGTAGTATCAAACATCCTCAGTATTTTAATGCGTAATTCAATAACCAAACTTTCAAAATTAGTGAAGTATACTGTTCATTGTTGGTTATTCCTACATGTTTACTCTTTTTTCAATCTAACACCTATGATTCATTTTCATTGCTGAAACTAAGACATACTGTGCAAAGGGCCCATAATCAAGATGAATCATCTAATGAATATCAACAAAGTTGGATAGATTCAGGTGTAAATAATCGACGAAGTTCTGGACAAAACATTATTTCACAGGTATGATTATATGAAGTTGTTATTAATACATCTTCATTGTTCTAAATCGAATAACGTTTTTACAAATCGTTCATCGTTTTGTGAAAGTGTAGCACTGGTTTTTTGTTCTCAAGGCCAGTTCACATACTTTTAATGTAAATCCAGGAATATATGCCTTCTTCATCATGGACAGAAGTCACTTGGAAAGCCGTTAAAAACCTTGGAGGATTGGACAGCCGCTTTATTCTAGTTTAAAATTCCTTCCGGTGTGCTTTTATGGTAACATAGGATAGCTCCTTATCTCATTATGAGATTATGATATGTTTCAAATCTATAATTGTATTCTGTGACTAACTCTACCGGTCATGACTTCCTACTAGGATGTTGGAAAGTTTTTTTGAATTTAGACATAAATGATTTGCTTCATTATCAATAAGTTTGGGGTGTATGTGTATATATGAATATTGTTTATCTTGAAGCTGTTTTGATGACGTACTGACATATGATGGTAAAACTGTATACCTGATGCATCACTCAGTTTGATACAAATTCCTGTTCAGTGTAAACAAAGTAAAATTATATTTATTATTTCACTCTTAAAAATTGAAATGAAGTAGATGGTATTTGGCTAGTAGTGGAATCCGTAATTTACGTTTCACCCCATTTTCAATCTATCAAATGGACGTGTCTGGACTAACGTATTTGACGAAATACATTGTCATGAAGGTTAACTTTTCTCAATTTTTATTAGTGTAAATAGTTTCTCTTATACATCTACTTCAGTTTTATGTTTTCGTTCTGATTGAAAAAGAATATATATTGATATTTTCTTTTTATTGTCATTTTCTGTTTCAATTTATATATAGGCTAGAGGATTACTTTTAGTTTTAAATAATATTGAATGGGTTGCGTGTCATGCAAATTATCGTCTGTTAAATTTATACAAGTCATTAGGTTATGTTTCAGTTGATCGATTACAAGCTACTTTAGATGAAGCATGGGACGAAGGTCGAAAGGATATTTGTTCAAGATATGTGAAATTACGTAGTGAATGGTTATGTTTACCGCTTCAATCATATTTATCAAATCTTTTACGGTCGGAAAGATACACAAGTACTAAGAAACAGGACGATATATATATAATAAATGGTATGTTTTGATTAATTTAACTTAATTTTCTTTTATCTTTCAACGTAGTAAGGTCTTTTAATTTTTTGCTATAGATGTTTTAGTAATGAACGTATATCATTGTTCTTAGTTCTTATTTCTTCATCATTCGGTTTGTGGCTTCAAAACTAGTCTGATTCTCTCCTTGTATCTTACCACTATTATGAGCTATTGTGCGCACAGTATGTAACTCTAAAATTTATTGTATAAATTAATATTTCAGATTATTTAAATGAGTTCTAAGTGTCGAAATTATTGGCTTGTAAAGTTAGTGTCATGCAAATGTTTCTCGTCTGCAACAATCACGAACACACCACTAAGCTACTCAATCTATTTAATAAAGCACACGAGGACATAGAGTTTACTATGGAACAAGAAGCTGAAGACAAATTCCATTTCCTTGATGTTGGGATCCGACGAACATCTGATGGTAAATTACATAGACATATTCACCACAAAAAATACCTGGAATGGTCTATATCTCAATTACCACAGTTTCTGCCCAATGAGTTACAAAAAGGGTATTGTACGAACCCTTTTTGACCGCCCTCAAAAAATCTGTTCAAAAGAATACCTTGATGATGAAATTAATCTGATTACTAATGTTCTACGTGATAATGAATACCCATTGAAATTTATCCAGAAATATGCAAAAACCAATCCTCGTACAAAATACGATGGAGTTGAAAAGAAAACCTGCTTCTTGCATTTACGTTTCAAAGGTGATAAGATTGCTGGAATAATTAACCACAGAATAAACTCTGCGTTGAAAGTGACCTATCCAGCAGCAAAACTTATGACAGTATGGCAAACGAACTGCTCACTTCAACAAACCAAAATCGACAAGCCCTCTTTTCTTAGTAGCTTCAATTGCATCTACCAATTCATATGTACGTGCCAAAGCACATACATTAGAAGAACTGAGAGAAGAGTGTATATCCGCATTTTTGAGCATGTTCCAAAAAACGTGAGGCTGCGAGGGACTAAGGCTTTCAACAGCGCAATAGCTCGATATCTACTTGACACCGGACACACCATCGACATTCCACATGCTTTCAAAATTATCAATAGACAAAGAAGTACGACCACCCTCCGTTTTGCTGAAGCCATTATGATAAAAAAACTCAAACCGGACTTATGCATTCGAAAAGAGACTTTAATAAACTTATCACTACCCTGGTAACCCTTTTTTTCATTCATTTTCAAATATTTATACTCCTCCCCTATTACATAATTCTTAAACCACATCATTATTCACACATTTCCACCACCTGATCCTTTTAAATTATCTCAACTTTTCAAATTCTATTTAATTATTATTGCGTAATCTATCTTATGATTATTCATTTCCATTATTACACCACCCAACCCGAATTAATTCCTTTTGACCTCTGACCTGTTCTAGCATATATATATATATATATATATATATATATATATATATATATATAGTTATTATTGTAACCCAGTTATTTACACTCATCTATGTCAATTGTTTTCACTCTATCTCAATGTAAAAATTCTATCACATTTTTGGTTTGTAAGCAGCTGACGAGAAACTTCGAAATAATATGAATTCATACTATTCTGCACCAATATTTGTTCTTGCTTTATTTAAATTCAATTTATTTGTTTACTTTTTTATTTGCTCAAAAAATCCTATTCTATTTCAGGCATACAAAGTTCATTACAAGAAGTTTTAGCTAATTTATCGCATATTTATTCTGAATTAATTTTACTCATTGGATTGAAATCCATTCAGTCATCACCCTATCGAACTAATTCTTCCAATGAGACTAATGATAAAAACCCAATTTGTTCTATTAGTATACAAGAGATTTTTCATCAAATTATTCAATATCTTATTCAAAATATTCATGATCGTTTAATGTAAGTTTTGTTTTAATTTTGATTTTACTAATAATAAATGTGGTGTGCCTTATTTTTGAAATAATTAATCCACTTTTAGAAATTTAGACAATGTAACGTAGTAGAAATTTGAAGTAGTAGATCAATGAATCGAAAGTATAGAATCATACTTAAACATTCTTATTGTTATTAATGCATACTTCTTTATATGTGTATGTCCTTCTGAATACATAATTCAAATGGTTTTCGGTTCGTAGAGCGACTAAATGAGGAGTGTTGATATTTGATTCATAGTACTACGCAAATATGGGGAACCCGTTGATGAGATTGTAAATCCTCATCGGCTGTGGTGGTTATGCCATATATTATGTATGCCTAACCATCATCTACCACGACTGTCCACGCTTGCTGGTGTAAATACACGTTTGAAGAAAGTTACAAGTGACCAAACTAGGACACAACATCAATCCATGAATTGACTGACTGCTGATGTGTACACACTAATGAACTTATTACCTGGTTGGAATGTCTATGCGGTAACCTCAAAAAGTGAGATATTGGAGACTTTGAGGGAGGTGGTTTACAATCGTTTACACTGATACACTTCTGCTCATTATTTATCTTTCCGAATTTGAGCTCCGAAGACTCTAATTTGTACTTTGTAAATTGATTAAATAGGATTCTTGGATAAAAAGTATTGATACTGTTCTTCTCAAATTTTATTCAAGCAATAACTTATGTTCTATTCCGCACTAATGTTCTCAATAAAGATGCCATCGTTAAAAGTTTGATCTATTGGCTATCACCAATAATTGTTTTATTGGGTCTGGGTTTAAGCCAGTTATTTTGATTGATATCAACCAGTTGACTACAATATCTACAGACTGATTTGAAAATGAATCCAAATATACTACATTGACTGTTCATATAAAATTAAGAAAAATAATGGTGAATGATTTGAATCTCAACTATTTATCGACTTAATGTGTAATTAGGTAATCAAGAATCACTTTCAGATGACATAATAAATATAATTTCAGTTTACACCTTTTATTCATCTTAAGCTTGGTAAAAACAATATAAATAGGTACTTTGTTATTGATATATATTTTGATATGCAATATTAGAATTTTCTGTATCTTTGTTGTTATCAGTACCCCCTTTTCATTGGTGGTTTACAGTTCTATATTCATTTATACATTTCTCGCTCGCTTTCTTTGTATAACTCGGTCTTAAAGGCGTCAATCACATGGATTTCCACGAACATATAAGGCACTGTAAATCATAGAATTCTACCTGTCCAGGTTTTCAATTTATTACATTTAGTTTATCATTCCTGTTCACCGTTGAATACTATGTTAAACTATACTAAGATAGCTATCATGTGCATTTAACTAATAGGTGTAGGTAAATGAAGACTTTGGATGATTTTGAATACTTACATTACAACTTGTTTTGAATTTTCAAAAAATTATTCACTCAAGTGGCATCATAATTCTTATCAACATAGATCCAATTGACAATTATAGTTTGTTACATCGAATACTTGTACAGTATTACATAATTAGTGATGATATTTGATTAGCAAGTAAATATTTATTAAGGTGTTTTAAAATTTTTACTGATAACTACTACAGTTTTAATTAGCTGACTTCAACATCGAGTTTAAATATTGTAGCTCAAAACATATCGTTGATCAGTTGCAGTAAATTCTGTTTTGATCATACACAAGAATTTTCAGGTCATAATGTAGTGTATGCAGAGATAAGTAGTATGTAACATCAGTCAGAAGTGGAATGCTTGGTAGTAGAAGGTTGAGAAGATTGAATTAAAGAGAACAGGAATGTTAACAGTGAGTAATTGTATTAACAACAGAATTCAAAGAATCATGAAGTATGTTCAGGACAACTGAAGGAAAATGTTCAAATGATGTATTTAATGTATGCTTTTCATATTTTACAAAAGCACTCCATAATTTTGCATTAAACAATAAATTAGTTATCTTCACATCACGTCTTAATTCACTACAATTAGACTTTGAGGGAAATCATCAACATTAGAATATTGTTAATATAGAATGAATTATCTTCAAAATAAATCACTGGTCATCGAAAAGAATTTATGACTTATTTTGAATATGTAGTCAATTAATTATTAGTTCTTATTTGTTTCTATAATAAAAGATAATGCTCTATTGATCACATTAATAACCAAATAAAGTAATCATGATTAATAATTATTTTAAAATGTTTTATTAAGATTGTTAGGAATACTATTTAATGAAGAGGTAACTAAACTACTTTACTTTTATCATAGATTTGTCTATTTTAGGATTAATTTCACAATTCTTACCACTTATAGTTTCTTTTTTTTTGTTGAAAATTATACTGAATATTATTTGTAAACTTTTCCTATTTGACATTTTATTCATTTTCTCTTATCATCTGGTTTATGGATTAAAAATTAAAAACTTTGATTTTGTGTGGTTGAACTTTTTTTTTTTGAGAATAAATATTTTGTTTATCATTTCTACTTTGATATATCCGTCATAGTATATCGGTATTATTGACAATCGTAAATAAAGACTCTATATGTGGATGCGTTTCTTTTTTTAAACATTTAAATGAAATAAATTAACTTTTGATTCGTTCACATTATAATATTTATGAAACATTATTATATTGTTGCAATAATAATTGTCATTTGTCTTAGTGTAGGTCAAATAGTTTTTTTTTTGTTTTGATTTAAACAAAGCAATAACAACAAAGTTTACAGAATAAAATGAATTCATCCTATTTCATAGTTTTTCATCAGCTATATACAACCTTAAATTACAATCACTAATATAAATACAATTATTAGCAAAAGTTTACAATATTTTAATTCATGAAGTTTTGATAAGTGTTCGTAATGTAACCAAAATCATAATATAATCAGAAAAATGAGGATACAAAGTATATGAATAAACAGGGTCAAGATCTGTAGGAATTTATATGTGGGGAAGTAATAATTACGAGGTCATTTAAAGGTAATGAAATTCAAAAGTGATTAACATTATAAAATAAACAAATATATGCATTCAATACGTAAGTTCAACTGTGAAAATACTAAGATATTCACAAAACCCAATTCTGATAACAACCATCATGTGCTCACTAATGACTAACTTCAAGAGGTATTTCCTGAAGTTCTAGTGAGAAGCTTTGAACCGTGGAGTTCAACCGGGTCTGTTGTGAGATAACAACTCACTGGAGACAATGGTGGACGCTGGGGCGAATATGTGGATTGGTTAAAGTTAAACATTAACGCTGTTGGATGGCGGCCCAGTGGTTTACAGGTCAAGTGTTCACGTGCGAGACCGATAGATACTCGGTTCGAATTCCGCGAGAGGGATCACGGATGCGCACTGCTATAGAGTCACATTCTAGGACGAAACAGCCGCCCAGTGCTTCCAGGTTTTCCATGGTTTTCTAACTTTAATTGACTCAGGAACTCAACTATTAAATGGAAATATTAGTTCAATTGGTAGTATAGTTGATTATAAAGCAGTCTTACAAATAAGTATATTGCGTATATGCTTTTTGTAGACAGACAAAATAGTTTCGGCTTAAAGCTGCTATATGCAAAAACCTCACCATGATTAGTAATTTATAAGTATTTTGAGGCACCAAAATGCCCTGGTACGGCCGAGGGTGGGGAGAGTCAGCTTACCCCCTCGAAATGCTCTCACATGAATACGTGTATACAGCCACTGTCAGCGAAGTCCTACTCAATACATTCTCGAGGCAAGGGTGTTGCTTACGAAACTGAGAGGACGAAAAAAGAATATCCGATGCTTTAACCGGGTTGGTGGATATGGACGATGCAACTAGGAAGTTGGAAAACCATGACTCCAAACCAATGGTGCACATGAGTTCTGGGATCCTGAAGGAAGAAATTGTATATTAACCTATTGTTGGTCACCGGCTACCATGGGACTGTATCTCCTGACGCTGTTCCACTGGATTAAACCTTCAGGTCAAGGGCTCGGGAAGTGGCCCTTTAAGAAAACCACCTACTTCGGTTTGGCCACGCTGGCAGTATTCCAGCCCTCACATTGTTCGAATGATTTGTATGGCGCATATGTATTTGGTGCCCCTTTGTATCAATGTTTATTTGTTGAGTTCTGTAGTGCTGATCGAATCCTAGTAATCAGTTTGCAATGTAGTCACTAGTCTGAATGATTAAGTATCGCTCGTACTATGTTGGGGTGTTAGATGGTTGGAAGCAGTCAACAGGAAGTATTAAACTTAGATTTCACGCTAGTCATCATTCATCAACAAAGCATATTTGCAATCTTTGGAGAACTAATGTTCAGGATGTTGAATATTGAGATATTTTTGCCCTGATTGATCTATATTGTAGGAACGAAATATTCACAATAACTCAATCGCTAAGCAGTAATCAATATTCTTTTTTTATTTTGTACTTTGGTACTGATCAAATCCTATCGATTAGGTTAACTTGATGTAATTATGGATAACTTAAATTATATAACGGTTATTTGTGTATAAGTGTGTTTCATTTTATCACAATCTTATCAAATTACTTATTATTATTAATAATGGTTGTTTTTTCTCGTTTTTTTTGTTTTTTTATCTATTAAGTGAACGTAATATATCGGATTGGTCACAATTAGCTCAATTACAATTAACTCTGGATTTGAATGCAATTAAATTAATTTTACCGAATTATTTATTTACAAATGAATCAAATAAACTATTAAACACAATATGCGCTTGTTATAAGATTAAAATATCTCCAGTATTCAATTATTTAGGAAGTGAAGAATCTCAGTAAATTGATGATTTCATTCATATATTTTTTTAATGAATTTTTCTCTCGGAGTATGTACTTATAATGTTGTCGTTATGTTGAAAGAGATTGTGACACATTCATAATTAAACTATACGGCTAACAGAGAACAATAATAACTTGTAAACGAACCATGTAATAGTTTATAGATATGATCAGGTTGACACAGAAAGCTGTGTTATATCATCTGAAGTACATAGATGTAAAGTGTAACTGTGTGAAATAATGTAGTTCAAAAATCATTTGAGGAGTACATTTATCAAAAGGATTACAACAGTGTGAAGCATCAGGTAGGAATCATTAATTTTTTCAGAACGACTAGGACATCGTATTGATGTGTGATACGTGTATCCGAGCTCATCTCTAGAGCTATGAAAAAGTCATCTTAGTCATGTACAACTAGGAATAAAAGAACGAAACATAGGGCACGAAACTAAAGCTGCAAAAATTACTTTGATAGGTTTGTCGTTATACAAGTGACAAGTTATTTGACGATCTACTGATTTCAATAGATGCTGTTTAAGTTAACAATTTAAATTGTCTTAAAGAGGTAATTTTAATAAGCATGCTCATTAAAAGCATTGATTTTAGGCATTTAATATCCCTATAATTTCACTAGCTAAATTTGATACAGTCACATGCGCAAAATTGTTATAACTTGTGGCCTTGTACCCTATTAATGCATAACGTAATGATACTGCGAATTAGAGAACATTGACTTATCGACCGCACCAATAACGTACAAACCTGTACGAATAGTTTAGAGTACTTATCGATCCTTCTTCCTGCAAAACCCTGTCAGTTAGTCCAGAACACCAATCTAAACCCCGGCGATATGAATCGCGTATTTCAAATATACTGGGTTTATATACAAACCAAACAGATCACATTGCACCACAAAATAGAAAACAACATTTGTACAGGACTTAACCAAAAGTGGCTGTGAATGTGAGAAACTGTAATTAATAGACTGGGCATAACTCAAAAACGGTAAATCGCATAATAATAGCCTATGGGTCGAAATTAAGCTTTTAATACGAGGAGCATGAATATTTATAGTTTGGCTACTTAATAAATATGCAGTCAAAATATATGTATCTTATTTGCCCATAAATGGTTCTCAAAAGGTACCATTCACAATTCTCGTCGGGATATAACAAAAATACTTTTATGGCGTTTTCGTAGGAGAGGGGTAACATTACATGGTAACGTGCTATCATGTCTTTGTATCATTTATTGAAGGATAACGTAATCTTCCAATCATTTCTTGAGTTTATCTTAGCTTGTCTTTTATTAACGTTTGTGGTGTAGGATACCAAGTACATGAAAACTATTGAAGCTCAATTCTTTCTTAAGGCATGACTCCAAACTTCAGCTTTAATGTGCATCATCTTTATGTTGAAGGATATATAGTCTAAAATTGTAATGCCTTTTAAGAATAATCACACCATTCGTTTTAGAATTTGTGTTATAAAACTTACAGTTTCGGAATTGATGCTTAATAAACTATTCATTAATTATTTTGAAAGAAAAACAGTATAGTATCAGCTTTTATCCTGTAAATTAAGCAGTTATTTCAAAAGCAGTTGTAGTATACTTTGTCTTGTAACTCCATATCTTGCTAGATAGTGATTTATATATATGCCGTTTGTTACGATTTCTCACTGATAGTCTATTACTGTCAGGATATCTACATGTAGTCATGATTTACTTAACTTTGAACATGTCTCCTTTTGTGTTTTCATATTTGTTAGACATTTGTCGAAATTGCTTGAAAAAGAAAGAAGTAAAATGCGTTTATTAATTAATGGTTTAACTACACTTCAATCACCACGTCGAGAATCAATGGTCACAGGATAATGGTGATTTTCTCGTGTATTCCCACCCCAAATCACACAGATACACAAAAGTACACCAGAAGTTCACCTTTTCGTGGTGATTATCTTTTTATGTGCTTATTGTTGTTCACTTTCCTTTTTTAAAAACTTAATTTGCATAAAGTTTAATTCTAATCTGTGATTGATTTTCACATGTATATGTGACTATTATTTCAACTAATTATAAACGTTCTGTTGTTTGTTTTCTAAAAAGAGATTACGGTGTAATCTCTTTTACGGGAAAAAACCGTGAATATATTGAATAAATTTTGTGAACAGAGATCAATTTACTTCTATGCTTAATTTTGGGTCTTTTTTTAGTGAAAAAAATTCATAATTCTTGTTTACACTCTGTAAAATATAATCAGTTTGTCTACTTTTGATGTTGACTTTGAAAGTTTTGTTATGCAGCTTACCAAATAGAATTTTGTCTTTAAAAGTAAATTAATAGTATTAGTTCTGAATATTGTTGCTATAAGTCGATTGTATCATTAGAACATGTCACATTTTGGATTATTATTATTATTATGATCGAAAACATGTAATCTGTCTTTATAAGCTACCGCCATCGGTGTACTGTTAAGTTGTGAAATGGAATCGATCAGAAGCTTTTTGTCTTTGTTGCACGATAGTTGACACTCATCAGGAAAGTGTATTTACCATCTCGACGGAGGTTATATCATGAGTGTATCATCCTTTATTAAAAACGCCACTATTTAGAAATTTGGGTTTCATCTGTCTTCCTGTATAACTGAAATCCTTAGATTAATGAATATTAGAATGGTAATCCTTTACTAACCACTAAGTGATGTGGATGAAATATCAGTCTTTGATTGTCTTGGTTTGTGACCCAACATTCATTCATCGTAACGCATTATTTAGTATATCGCGATGTATATTTGAAATAGTGGTATGATTTCTTGAACATATATTGGGATGGTTTATACCTTTTCTGAAACAGACAACATACTCTGTCACTTGAACAGCATATAAAACCATAAGTATGCTGATTAAATTTCAAAGCAACCGTAAATTTTTCATATTGTTTGACTCTTAAAGGCTATCAAGCTCTATGATATTCAGTGTTTTTTAAATATGCTGAATTCACTGCTTTTTGCCGAGCAGTCAAACGAAATAACCAATGAAAATATATTTAAAAGACATATTGCATAATGAAGCATAAAATATAATCTAACATGTTTCTACACATCTCATTAGTTATATGGGTCTCAAATTATTTATCTAATTGTTACACATTATAGTTAATTCACTGATAATCTTTACGTACATATATTAGATATTTCCGATTTAATACATATATGGTAACAACTACAAACTATATGTAGATTGAAATTTGAACAAGTCTTACTAATCTCAGATTTGTCTGTTTATGGGTTACCAATAAAATTGTTTGAAATGAGTTCTAATCGAAAATCAAATCTATTCTTAATAGGGTTTAGATTAATATTGTAATCCTTTCTTGAATAAAGTATACTTTTTTGAAATAACATGTTATTTGAGTTCCTGTTTGCCGTGCATTTCAATGAAAGCCTAGTTATCAATAGAGTTGAATTAATAAAAATTGTTGTGTTCGTTGGAAGATTTGAGTGAGGTCCTACATGTGCAAAAAGCTGGGAGCTGATCGTCTTCTGTTTTTTTGTAGTTCACCACATTATGTCCGTTTGTGAATAAATTTATTAAAATCTTATCAACTTCCTACAAGGCCCTTATTTAAAATAAGTTGTATAAATGTATATAATGGTTGATATTTTCAGGAATCATAAATATGATATCGTTTGTGAATACAAGTAGTTAATAGATTTGTCTCGAATGTATAAAAGAAGTGATGTGATACAGACGTTATAATGTTCTCATACATTTTGGTAGTTATCTAAACCGTACATGTATTAGTATATTCGAAAAATATTAGACATATAAAACATAATATTGTCATTTAATAATAATATATAAATACAAGACCGTTTTTGGAACAAGGTATGCTATTTTTGTACATACAATAAGGAATTATATATCAGGTAAAATAATTTTATATGAGACCTGTTATATTTAAATTTTAAACTAAAATCCTCAATAAAGAGGAAGAGTGTTTTTGTAAAATCTCAGCGGAAGAATCTGAAGTAAATCCAACGTTTCGCCTGGCAATCTGGTCCAAGCTTTTTCAAGGAAAATCCTCAATTCTTGTTTACATACAAACTGGAAATGACTAGAATTCTATCTATTTATTTCATACACCTTATATACTACTAATATAAGTAGATATTTTTAAAGATGTTATGTAAACGTTTGATACAAATACTATACCATTCAATTAATATATTTACATAATGAAATATTGAATTCATTCAATTATGATTCACAATAGTCGAATAATTTTCATGAATCTATTTACATGATTAAGTTATTTTATTTTAAAAATTTATACTATATACAGTCAATTACATATAGCTACAATGATAGGAATTATTATTATTAGTGGTGGTATTTGTCAGTCAGTCAGCTACAACATAGGACGGTGGTATTTGTGGGAATAATAGTATCAATTCTAGTGATAACTTTTGACCCATTTCTAAGAAAACTTTATTGAAAATGCCGCAATTCTTTTGAACTTCATAATATATGCGTCAATATCTATATATAACTGTGAAATAAGTTTTTTTTGAAAAAAATTTAAGATCAAAAGAATTTTTCTAGATATTTAAAACTATTCTCTAGGCAATTATTCATTAGAATGATATATTTACAAGATTCTATATGAATGAATTAAGGAAAAAAACAACAATGAAGCTAAGCACACTAACAATCAGTCAATTAGTAATCATAATATGTCAATAGCTAACTGTTTAGTTATCTAACAACTAAACTTTGTTTTTAGTGATAAAATGAAAAGGATGAATATGATCAGATTTACATGATTAATATAAGTTAATGAGCAATTCTCACGCTACAGTATGTTTTTTCGATATTCTTTGTTTTTACTACCGGTTACTGTTTTATGTTTATTGTTAGTTTAGTATGAAGGATTTGAGATAAGTTAAGTAGAGTATTTGATTGACATAACAGTGCTGATTTTTGACTGTTTTCTATGACTGCTAAAGTTAAAGTTATCGAAAATGTAAATACGAGATGAATTCACTGTTCTTCTGTAGATAAGTCTTGGTTGGAATAGTTCAATTATATTGAACAATGGATAGTTATCATTGATGGTAGTGGGATTTGCGAACTGTTTTAAGTTGGAAATGTAAATCCTAATGTATGTTAACTGAATGGTCTGAAGATCCTGTGTTAGATCCCTTATGTTGACAGTATAGCTGTCTGGTGCCGCTTGATTTTACGTGTTCAAATTAAAGGAATTTAAGTTTCCACAACTTTGTGTACTACTATCGATCATATGTTTACTGGGGATTAATTTTCATACCAGTCTCACGTTCCTGTTTTGACTAAGTAATTTTTATGAGACAAATGGGATTTACTAATGAAATATAAGTCAGGTTTATGTTAATTAAACGTTTATAGACTGACGAGAAATTTAAATTTCTTACATTTTCGAACTGATTTAATGTTTGATACTAAAATTATAGTTTGTAGATTTTTATTTGTTGGTTATACAATTACAACCGCAAACCAACAGTTAATTTATAATTCGGGAAGACACTATGAAAATATATGTATGAAGGAACACAGGATCGAGAAGAAAATAAAGATTGAATGCGTCTGTATCAGTGTGAGCGATTCTAAACCATCACACTCAAAGTCTCGGATAATTCACTAATTAGGATTAGAGTACACAACTCCAAACCAAGTAATATGCACTAACCAGTGTGCTTACACCGACAGTCAGTCAATTCATGGACTTTTGTGGCCCTTCATCTGACTCCGGTTTGATTGTAAAACAATGTTATCGAAATATATATCTCGGTTACCTTCGTACATAATTACTTACTTAATTCACGTTGGAGAATAACAGAATAAAATAAGTCAAACAGTAGAATGGAGTTTTAATATGTATATTCCGTACATTCGTTGATTCGGACAGGTAACTAAAGAAACGAATGGAGAAAGCAAAATGCAGAATATCTTTAGGAAAATGAAAAACGAAGCAAAGTGAGGAAGGTGAGTGAGATGGTAGAGAAGATTTGTAGCTCAGGTGGATGAATTTGATGGAGTTTTGTTCTCTGAGCTGGATGGTTTGGTTGTGGAGCTTTCACCGTTCTTTTGAACGACATCATCGGCGCAAACTTCAGATAGAAGAGAAATGTTGAACATCGAATTGTACAGGACAAGCTGTGAACCTCATGTGGAGAAATTTGAACACTTCACTTTTACCTGAAGTTTGTGCCGATGATGTCGTTCAGAAGAACGATGAAAGCTCCACAACCAAAATATGGCACGAAAAGAATGAATGAGTCGGTCTAGAATAACGCATGTTTGCTTGAAATAGTACCAGACATTACAGACCGATGTATCTTGGTTTGGTCACTTATAGTTTTCTAACATACATTTACATCAGCAAGCGTGAGTCGGCGCGTTAAGCAGTGGTTAGGCACATGTTACATATAGCCTGACCATCTCATCCGATGACGATTTACAATCTCATCAACCGGTTCCTCACTTTTGCGTGGTACTGTGAGTCAAACCTCAGCCAAAATCTCTCACTTAATCGTTTGATGAACCACTAGGAATGTTGCAGAGGCATTTGCTATGAAAAGCCTTCTAACCACCTTTGTTTTTGACTTTCATAGGCTGTGCTTTACAGTCATAAAGTAGAACTAAGTGAATTTCCTTCTAGTATACACGTCTTTTCTTTTCTAACATAATGATTGCGTCACGAATGGTGCAAATTTGCTAATACTAACAATTTTCCGAATCCATACTGAGGTTTATTCAGATATCAACTATACAAGGCGGATTTAACTTTGAAAATCAATGAAAAAGTTGACTGTTTTTAATTACGTCGCCCTCTCTCATTCGTTTAGGCACTAACACAAATCTGTCTTGAATCAATACTTTATTTCTAAGGCGAAACATATCTCAAACGTGTTGTATGTTGAGTGAAACGAATATTCAATGGAATACAACTATAACTATAGTCAACTTCATTTAAATCGCAAATATATATTTCCTTTATTGTTTGGAAATAATAACTCATTAATTTTATAAAAAAAATTGACATTCGTTTTTTTTGATAAATTCTAATTGACAGTTACATCCAAGTAAGTGGAAAAAATGTGACAAAGGCTGTAATTATATTTTATGTTGTTGCTGGTTTTAATTCTAAAGTACCTATAAATAGAATATTAGGCCACCCAGAAAGTAAGAAACTATATTCACTTAGAACATTATGATAAGAATGATGCATGTGGTCTTATTTTTTCTACGTAACTCGACTATGAAGTGTCATCATTGTTTTTTTTTAA